TACCAGTAGGAGTGGTTGATGAGTTGGTTGAAGTGTCAGCCATTGGGAGAAAGCATCAAAAAGTCAAAATTCTATGAGATGTCTGACAAAGGTTTTCTTAGTGTCAGAACCAGAATCAAAGTGATGGGAGGCACACTCCCAGAAACAAAGACATACATTAGTACCTACACCTGAAGGTGAGTTTTCCACTCGTGCCTCATGCTTACTCATCATGGGATGGTGTAATGGCTAACACTGGCCACATTCGACAAAGTCCTTATCATCAGCAAATCATGGAAACTCTGGTTTGCCCTTGCAACACGTGCCATGTTTGTCTTCATTTACATAGCCATGGGATGGTTTGCAAGGCAATATATACCATACAGCAGGTTGTAGTTACATTGGGCATGGGATACCTAGTATGTAGAACACTTACAATGGTTTTTGTTGTATGGTATGAGTATTGAAGGTTTTGTGAACTTGCTATGAAGACTTCTTAAGTCCACATCCAGTGGCAGCATCTCATGGCTTCCAGTCCATTATATGCATGAACTAATGTAGTCTAACAGAACTGACCTGAGATTAAGTGAGCACATTGAGACCCTGAGACCTTGAGATTGAACCCACTGGAACACAAAACAATTTATTTACATATTTATAGCAAGCCCTTAGCCACCATATGCATTCTTACAATTAGTTACCCACCACCCTTGCAATGTGATACTGAATGCCCATCAATACCAGCCCAATTGACCTTCCCAATTTTTTGGTCTTTACAAAGTAATATATAGCTTGTAATCTACACAATCATTGCCAAATTTCCCACATCAAGTTAAAGTTTGTACAATATTTAGTTCTTTATATACTGCCATGAAGTCCACAAGGCAGGTGTTGAATTGTAATGATTATACCAGATTGTGTTGATTATATACCCTTGCATAGCCTTATATTGCTCTCCCCAATTTGCTGATGATGTACAGAGATGAATAGAAGAACAAGGAATTTGTGTCAACGAATTCCTTGGTTGTGCCAAAGTCTTGTCCGGACTCAAAAAAGCTTGCAAGAAAGATGCGAACAAGACTTGAGCATCCAGTGAACTTATTTGGTGAATACTTGCCAAAACCAACTGACAGTACCAACCTGAGTGTAAGCTCGCAATGACAGGTTGGTGAGGCAAGGATGAGCTAAGCTGGCTGCCCAATTGAGTGTCACTCGGATTGCAGTTTTGCTAAGAGGAAATATAGGAATTGATTTTAATACAATGTAGGAGGTAGCAATGGTTGTGGGTGTTACACAGAAGGTTAAGGAGATACACATTTATCAAGTAAGGCAGGGGTTATGGGTGTTACATAAAAGGCTAAAGAGATACAAAGTTATCAAGTAAGGCAGAAGGGATTTTATGTGCTATATGGAATTCTTCAAAAATAGAGGCGAGACGCTGAAGGTGTGCTTGGTTGTAAGCTTTTGAGGTGGACATGGGGAGGATCTCATCCATGTGGTGCCAATAAAGTAGGAAGGCAAGGGAAGTCCATCCACCAGTGGCAGCGACGATTTCTGGAGGGACGCCTGCAAGTAGCAGTTCGACGGTGCTGCCAATGCGAAAACTGTGTCTGAGGACATGGGCAAGCATTGCAGATGTCCAGATTCCAGTGACAAAGCTCAAGAATTCATTCTTGAGGAGGTTCTTGGGTTCACCAGAGGAAGTTTGTATGCGAAGAGCGCAGAGGAGGTTGGAATTGAGGAATTGACATCCAGGTGGTTTTTGAAAGCAGCGACGGGGCATAAGGGGTCACCATTGCGACGTGCAGTGAGGATGACAGTGGCTCTGAGTTTCTTCATGGTTTTGGTCCAGGGAATTTCAAAACTGGAGGAGTGAGTGCCATCACACAGAACACGGAATAGGATCCTAAAAAGAAAGTAAGAAAGAATTGATTAAAAGACAAAGAAAGAGAAGCATATGTTGTAGAGCACAGTATGTGGTATTTGGGATCAAAGGCTGCAGCGATGGTGACAGTAGTTTCACCGAGGCAGCGGCACCCAAAGAAAGTCACTAGAGCAATGGCCCATACAGCCACGTGGAAAGGGTTGGAGAGGTCGAGAGAACATTGGAGACAGGAGAGGTGTTCAATAGAGACAGAGGCTTGAGGAGCCAATTTGTGTTTCTTACCTTCCTTGTTTGTGGAGGTGCAAGCAAGGTGGACCCAATCATCATCACCATACCAAGGTGCATGGTTGATGATATGCCAGCTGTGCAGGCCAGCCAGCCATGAGCGGATAGTATTGCCTGATTGGAGGCCTTTGAATTCGCCTATGAAGGCACACAAGAGAGCGTAGTCAGTGGGCATGCGCACTTCTTCAGCAATTCCCCATTTGTCGAAAAACTGAGTAAAGTGCAATGGGCCTGCACCATAAGTTGATTTTGTATTGGGTGCAAGGGCACCCCAAATGGCCATGAGTGCGGATTGGATAAGTGGAGCAGGGAGCTTTTGTGCAAGGGCTGCATGATGACAAGAGCCAAAAGGTGTGTGCCAGGAGAAGATGCAGTCAGTGGCAGCAACATGTGGGCAAAGTTCGTTGTGGACAATAGATCAGCCAGCATGGGGTTTGTGAGGGTGGATAATGCATGACAATGGGGAAGAAGTTTGAGGAGAAGGTGATGCTGTTAGTGGGCAAGAAGGGCCAGGGAAAGAAGAGTGGACAGTATGATGAAGAGGAGGTGAAGGAGGCATAGGACGTAGGAAAGGATGGAAGAAGTTTCAGGTATGGGTGGGGCGCAGTAAGATAGAGTCGGGAGATTTGATCTTACCCACACATCTCTCAGTGACACATGTCGGGGAAGAAAAGCAGTGGTCAAGGCTAAACATGAAGAAAAGAATCAATAAGCTCTTCAGGGAGCTTGAATTTATGGGACAGGTGCTGGCCAGCTTCACCCTGTTCTCCACGTGAGATGGGGTCAGCCAGGTTGGGGATTCAACATAAACAATTTTAGAGGAAATAGATAGGTGAGAAAGGAGTAAGTATGTGTGGCAGATGGAGAGATTGATGTGAGAGTTGGGGCTATGGCCTTTGTCAAGGGCACTGATGGTGCCCTGGTTGTCTGAGTGGATAAGCAAGTGGCAGTCATGTAGGTGCATCTCTTTGAGGAAATAGGCAAGGAGTTCAATGGCGATGGTTTTGAGCCAACAGATGTCCCTCCCCGTGATCTTCCAAGTAGGTGACAGCTGGAATGATGCCCAGAGGTCCCCAATGACAATACCAATGCCCCAGGATGTGGAGGCATCAACATACAAGTGAAGATCTTGAAGTGGACCTTGAGGACGCAAAGCATGCATGACAGTGCCATCTTCAAGCTTTCAAAGCCACCATGTAAGGCCCGTCAGCACAGAGTGGGGAGGGTACCATGTAACAAGTTTGTTGTTGTGGAATGACAAGGCAAAGTTGGACAGAGAAGGGAGGTGCGAGTGGCTGTCTAGGTAGACAAAAGCGATGTGGCATAGGGAGCCATGAATTTTCTCAACATCGAGGAGATGACAACGGCAGCCTTTGAGATAATTTAGAAAACATGCATAGCAGGTGATGAGAAAGGAAGACCTTTGAAATCATTAAGAAAACGATGGACATGCTCATGAAACTTCAATCGCTTACCCTCGGGAAGACTAACAAGTTTTCCCAGGATGTCCCAGAGAAATCCAATAAAGGTAGTGATGAAAAGGAAGTGGTTGTCACCCTTTTCGTTGTGCAAGGAACACCCAAGGGGGCGATACGGTGTAGCATTTCAGTGTGGTCGTAGTCATAAGAAAAAGGGCTGTCATGGAAGGTGCCCAAAGGTGAAGGGGTACGAAAGACTTTGAGATCATCTTCATACTTGGGGACAGGAAAAACACCTTCTGCCCTCCAAATGTTGACAACGGCATTGGCAATCATGCCAGCGTTACTGCTAGCACAAGCAGCACCAAAAGGGTGTGCATGATCAATAAAGAATTGACCAGCAAGACCTTAAACAACAAGCCAGGGCTTGTGGGAAGATAATACAGGACTGGTACAGTGGAATTTTTCAATATCCAAGGTACAAGCCTGGGTCCCTGGTGGAGCCAGAGCAATCTGGGTGTGTGCATGAGCTTCAATGATATGGGGAACACATAGCATAGATAAAAGAGGAAGGAGCGAGCATGAGAGGTGCTGAACATCATGAGACACTCAAAGGAAACACAAGTTGTGTTCCACATGCAAAGTTGCACAAGAGATGCATCATGAGATGCTAAGGAAGAAGGGAGCACGAAATGTGTCCCATACACAAAAGAAGTTGGACTAGTGTCTGAGATAATGCACAAGAGGTGCAAATATCTCAAACTGTGCATGGCAGGAGAGAAGAAGATGCCCCCACGCATGAAACACAAAAGGGGCATATAAGGAGAATAGAGAAAATGGGGGGAAGAAGGTGATGGAAGGAAACTCACAATTTTGGCAACTTTGGATGCCAAATCAAAATGCGTCGGGAAGTCCTCTTTCTGGATGTGTGAATTCACAGAAGCATGAAATTTAGAAGCTTTAGAGAGATGCCTGCAGATCCTGACTTTGTCAGGCATACCACACTGCTGGGGCTGAAGTGAGACGATGAGGGGGGACGATTGAAAAGGTCCGCACAGAATGGTTTCAGTCTCTTCACAAGAGAAAGGCCCGGACATCCTGCCGGACTGAAGTTCTTTTTTGAGATAGTCTTGGACGTCGGAAATGTAAGCATGGGTTGAAGAGTTGTTAGGGAGGACGATGCCTTTTGTTAATGCAGCCATGCGGCCAAGGGGAAAGCTGTGTCACAGGTTAGAGGGGAGAAGTGGATAATGGGATGACAGGCCATGCTTGAGCAGGAGAGATTCAAAGGCGTCAGGATTGTAAGGGTGCAGAATACAGTTGAAGATAGAGGTGTGATGGGCAGTAGACAATGGTAGAGGAAGACGAGGGAAGATGGAACATGAGAAATCGGTGTAGACGAGGTGCAGGGGGTGGAAATAGAGAGAAAATCCTCAAGAAGATTCAGTGCAGCACGTCCAAGAGAGGGCATGGTGGCCCTTGCTGCTGCAAAAGGAGCAGACATGGAGGCATTCATCTTTGTGGAGGGAGGCGCATTGGGGAGCGGCGTCGGTGCCTCGGACGTTCCAGTTAATGCATATAGTCTGGTTGTCAGGGGTGGCAAGACCCGCACTTGTGCTACATTTTGCCCAAGTTGCTTTCCCTTGGCAAATTTGATGAGGGCGGTGGCTTTTTGGTGGAAAAAAATGTTGTGCCCTCATAGCATGCAGATGAGGCAGACAGCATTTGAGGGAGGCTTGCCGCTGCCTGAGGAAAAGGGCTGAAAGTAAGTGGGTGGCTGGAAAGCACCCCATGGTAAGTTCCTTTGTGAGGAAGAACCAGCACCACGGTATGGTGGCCCTGACTGCTGAACCACTGTCTGGGAAGATGCCATCATTTCTTGCATTTCTTTGCAGAGTTTGTGGCTGTTTGTGGCTTTCTTTAATAAGGCTGAGAGCCTTGTCATAATCAGACACACTAAATTTGAGGTGCCGGCTCCTGTGATCCTGTCAGAATTCTAACTCCATTTTTTTCCATGCATCATAAAGCTTGTCCCTTTTGTTCAACATATTAAAAAAATTAAAGTGCTTTTCAAACTAAGCAGTGTGTTCTCCATCTGCTCCAGACTTGTCCCTGGAAATTTGGAAACTCCACATGTTGGCCACTGCTTCCGACCATTGGCTGCATGTGAGGGACAGCTCTTTCCTGAAACAATTTGAGAGTTTATCTATATTAAGTATATAAATACCCTTTGTTTCTCCAGGTGCAGGGTTTGATTTGACGGTAGGGAGGGTTGAAGCTTCATCAATCAGAGATCAGAGATTCTGGGTGAGAAAGAAGGGAAGTGGCACTGCAACACAGATTTCGGTGTCATATAAAGATTGCGAGAATTCAATGGGAATTGGCTCCCCAACAACTCTTTCTATGTGATTAGTTCCATCCATGCAACACCTTTTGGAGAGTCTGAGATCTTCTGCAGGGACATCATTGTCTTTCCTTTGAGTTCATCATCAGCAAGGCGCTTCACCAAACTGTTGTAAACATGCTCATGAACAGAGGCAAAGAAGGACGGGATCCTTGATCAGGCCAGATCTTTGGGATCAATGGTGATCAATGAAGTGACTTCTGATCCCAGTTCAGGGTGACCTGCTGGGTCTAGAGTGTGATTCAAGGTCTTGGCGGATCTGGCATTGTTGTCAGCCTCAATATTCTTGTTTTTCTGTAAAATGTTGGGTAGGGAGAGGCTTTTCAAGAGCTGAATGATTGTAGGCAAAGTGTGGGTGTGTGGCACACGAGGCTGAGGGGTGAGAGCGCTGTCGGTGATTGTGTCGGCCATTGTGCAAGATGCAAAAATTTGCAGGGAGCTTGGGAAGTCTTTCAAAATTTTAGAGAGGTGACCGAAAGGTAGTTTCTTCACATCAGAACCAGATCTGTATGATGGGGAGAAGCACTCCCCGAAACATAGACATATATTGTGTTTGTACATGTAAATGTCTGGTTCTGACGCACCATCAGCAAATCCGCATAAACCTTACATTACCATGTAAAGTGCTACAATGCAACCAATTAGCAGTAATGTATCACAATTTTAAGCCGACCTTACATTGTCATCCACTGGTGTCAACAACTGTGGAATGCGGAGCAAAAGTATGTAAGGTTGGGCTAACATTGGAAGGATATGGCCAACCTTCCGCCATCTTCTTTGCCTTGGAAGGTCATGCAATCATTGGTCCCCTTGGGAAGCTCTCTTAGATATTGTTGGCAACCCATAATTCTCAAAACAACACAAATGAAGTGAATAATCAAATTGTATTGGATGTAATGGACAGAAAGTACAGAAAGTGCGCAACACTATGAACAACCATGAAAATGGAAGGTGAATCGGTAGAAGTTTCAGAGTAAGCTCAACTTGGTATTCGACTTTCCATCATACACGTCGAATTTTGCATGCCATCCTCATTTGATCACGATGACGTCCCTGGAATCCCTGGAAATCCAAATCCATCAAATTAAGCCTTCGGCCTCAGGTGAGCGACGAGGTAATATATCCATTGAGTATAACAGTGAGGGGAATGGGAAATTGACTTACTGGGAGCACCTGTGGCCGACAAACACGTCTGAGTCCCTTCGCATATATGTGCCTGAAAACACCATAGCATGAATGCGCAAGTAAAAGAAGGTGTGAGTGCTCACCATGAAAGCCTACCTCAGGACCTATTCCATTCCCGCCAACGGCTTGCCAAGAAAGTGTGCTCTAAACCTCTACTGTCACACCAGAATGCAGTGTTGCCAAGTGGTGAGCAAGTCGGCTCCAGGTCGCTCTGGGACGCGCAGTGGACTCTGGGGATGGTTGCACAAGCATAAATAAGTAAGCGCATCATAATAGTGAGGAGGTGGATGGGGGCAGGAAGGAAGGTACTCAGAATAGTTTTGAGTTCGACTTTGTCCTTATAAGTATGTTTTCGGGGAGGCGCGAAGGACTATGAGGTCACAGAATTAAAGCTCCACTCGAACTCACGAGAATTTGACAATATTTCTCTTTCCACAAACCACGGACTACAACAACATTAAAAAAAGGCTGCCAGCTTTTGTCATGGGCTTGTAATTATGTTTATCATCGAACTCTAAGCTTCATATTGTATGTTGGTATGACTATACATTATGCAAAATAATTTAGCCTACCTTCCAATGTCGCAACAAAATGCCACTTACCTTAAATCCCTTCAACAACTTTGTACCAACATTGGATAATGTCAAATAGTCCCAGTGTACATTCTATACTTTACTTTAAGATTATGCTACATTGAAAGGTGACGCAAAACTAGTGCTTGGAAGTTAGGTTAATTAACTGGAAAATAACCGAGACCAGACCGGACCTAACCGCAAAAAAACCGGACCGCGGTTAGTGGTTAGTCAATTCTGGAAATGAAATAACCGGTTATTTTGCGGTTAACTAACCGTTAAAAAACCGGTTATGACCGGTTACAACCGACCCTATTATACCCCTTCAAAACGCATCTAAAAGCATGAGAAACACTAAAAATCTGACAGAGTTATGGTCAAATCTCTAAATTATTGGCTAAAATAGTAGGCTTTCAAGAATATTATTATAAAATTGTCAATTCTTCACCGAACTTAGCGTTCTTGGGCTTGTTTTAAAGCTACGACGCATGGCAATAATGTTTACTGCAAGGAATATGCGAAATATACGCCGTTTTAATCGATTTTCTATTTTTTCGGTCCTAACCGGTTAGTAACTGCAACTAACCGGTATTCATCGGTTATCTTCAGTCCAGTTAGGTTATTTTGGGTCTGGGAACGAGGACATCTGGGATCTGGAAATTTCGGCAATTCGCCAAATCGCCAAATCGCCAAATGATCGGACTTCCCTTCTTGCCAAATCAACACAACACCAGCATCAACCTCTCTATGAACTCTGACGTTCTCCCTATGGCTCTTCAAGTCATCAGCAGTGCTCGGCGACACGATCTCTCATGGAGGTGTAGATGACGGAAATGGATAACAGAAAGTATCAAAGCAGCGACAACTGTGAGTATTTTAACGATACCTGACAATGATGCGGCTCACCTGGCACGAAATCCTACAGAAATGTTGTCTGCGCAGCGAACCTGGGGGCGCTGTTATATGCTGCTACGATGGGTGAGTCAGGCTGCATGAGCACCATCGTGTCCTGCAAGGAGCACGACCACAGTAAACACGACATTTACGACATTTGTGAGACAAATGAAGGTAGCGAGGTGAGCATGAAAGCTCTAGCAACCCGACTTCCTTCATCATTCTTGGTTATAGACCGTGTTACAAATGTACTGTCAAGCGTACAAACAGGCTCCTGTTGGTTAAGCTCACGCACTCCTGCGCAAAGATCGATGTCCAGACTCTATCCTCAACATTCTCACTGACTATATCCCACAAATTACACCAGAGCAAAACTCGAAGGATCCTGCCTGTGTGTTTTGCCTGGCGGAATTCTCCTGCCTTTTATCCCGTTTACAAGGAGTGCGATGAGAGAAGATGCTCACTGCCTCCCCCTCTCATTCTGCCGTCTCTCTCTTTCTATGGTACTGCTTTTGCAATTTCCTCCATCTAATTCCAGCACTGCATCGTTCAGCTGCAGCTGCTTCCCGCCATCGCCTTCGTCGTGTGCGACCGCCGCCAACCACTGCTAGAGAACCTTGAATCTGGGGGACACTGAAATTGGTAGAAGGAGGAGGATAGACGGATGCATATACAGGCTCGCCATATCCGCTGCCCACTCTCACCTTCATAGACATTATAAATTTTGTGTGCTTCCAATCACTTTGAACTTTGTTACATGGCAGGTATGTTAATATTCATCTTCTCATTGAATGTGCATTTCGATGTACATTCGCCTTCTTAGAAATTTAAAATGGGAAATTCCAATGTGTTGTGCGAAACGGCGAACTGCCGAATTGCCGAAATTTCCAGATCCGAGATTTTTTGCTGGGAACGAACCCTAACCGGTCTCGGTCTCGGTTAGAGCCCCTGGGCACCCAATAACCTAACCTAACCGGACTTTCAAACACTACGCAAAACCTCGTAAGGTTTTGTGAAACTTACAAAGACTACAAAGTGATCCAATGTTGTCGTTGTTTTGCTGATGACAGTGTTATCTTATCCTACAGCTATCGAGGTATCGATAGACCAAATTTCAAAACACTCTGCTTAGTGGTTTTGTTTACTTGTGGAGCCTCAGGGCATGCGCAAACAACCTTACCAAGAAGGTATGACTATATACGCAACAAGCAGGAAGGGCGCCAATTGGCTGTGGGAAGTTGTTTGGCCAGCTCCAAAACTAAACAAAATCACTAAGAGGAGCGTTGTGGAAACTGGTCTATCGATACCTCGATAGCTGTAATATGAGCATGCTCTCGTTCCTCGAGCTTACTCATCACGGACTGTGGAGATGAAGGTTCGAATCCTTCTCTGCACATTCCAGGAAAATTCACCCAAACGTACGTAGTTGAATTACATAAGATGGATCACGAACTCATAATGATTGGGCAGATAGTGTAATGGTCAACACTTCCACATTCGACTAAGTCAAATCGTGGAGATGAAGGTTCGAATCCTTCTCTGTGCATTTGGACATGTCATCAACAGTTGACAGTTTACTTTTTTTAGCTTGTGCAAGTGGGAGAGGGTATAAATATTCCCGAAAATTGGGTAGATGGTGTAACAGCCAGCCTTTTTAATACTACCAACGTTGTCACCTCTCGCGCGCTACCGACACCAAAATAGTACAAACGCATCTCCTAATTGGTGCACCCATTATACGCTTGAAAAAACCTGCCTCTTGTGTTGCCTTCAGATATCTGCCAGGGGAGATGTTTAACTTGATGTTTCTATCTATACGTTGTTGTGTGAAGTAGCATTTTAAGCTACAGACACGATACAGAAAAAAATGAAATATAGACTTGCCAAGACAGACAGCGTAGAAAGATCCTTTAACAATTGACCTTCTCAAGTCACTGACCCCTAAAAGTCAAAGCAAGCTCACAGCGACCTAGAGACAGTGTGCGCCAAAGATAAAGATGGCGACACAAGTAGCGAGTATGCATATACTTAAAGTACAAAACCTATCGAGGTGGCTGAGAAGTGGGTAACGCGAGGCACACAGTAGTGTTGGGGATAAAAGAATGTAAAACGCTTGACGCGTCCAAAGTCCATCGCCCGAAGAAGGAAGTAGCAAAAATATAACCCAAAGGCCGGCGATGAGGCTGAAGGGAAGGGGCAGGGAGGAGTAACGCTAGGTCTACAAAATAAAAAATGGAGCGAGGAGGTATCGCAATAATGATAAAAGGTAAAAAGAACAGCGTCGGCGAAAAAGTCCGACAACAACGATGGGCTGGCCAATAAGGATGGAAGAACGACGGACGGGTAAATTTCATGAGTTCACCAGACCGTGCATAGAACCATAGCGGAAATGGCAGCCAAGAAAAATGGGCGAGTCAATGCTGAAAGTCCGGAAGCCCCGCTCGTGCTAGCGGTACTTGTGGAAGACGACGATGCAGCAGAGCTTGACGCGGTTGATGAATGTGTAGAGGAAGCAGGGGAGACCGACGTTATCATTTTCGAAGCTGACGCCGACGCAGACGGGATCGGCGTCGAGTTCAGCGCCGCTTGGGAGGTGGAGAGGTGGCCGATGGTGACGGTTGATGTTGACTGCGCGGACTGTGTCGCAGCGTGTAAGAGGGAGCTGGGGATTTGGATGGATGCAGTTGCGGATGGGAGGGGAGTGTCAAAGGATCCGGACATGCGGTCTAGGCTGGCGTTTTTAATGTTAATCAATAAGAGGCAATGCAAACTCATATTCGGGCGCATACATACCGGAAGTAAGGAGACCAGCCCGAGTAGGGGATTGTACTGTCGTTTGTTTTTTTCAAAGACGTTGATGTGATGGCGATGTAGCTATTTTTGAATTAGAACAAGGTGAAACGGAAAAATTAGCAATTATCAACATACTAAGCGTCGGAATTGGGTCCTGCAGCAGGGTTGGGCTGGGATGGCCATTGTTGTCAAGGACGCATATAAAGGGCGAGACGTCGGAGAAAGCTCACCGTAAATGTGATGGAGTGAGCAGTGGTCACATCCACGGCCTGAATCCATTGGACGATTTTCTGATGTTGTCTCGTTAGTGTCTCATTCGATATGAGGGCGTTAGGGACGAACCTGTTTGCCAGTGTAAAGACCAACGGTGGCAACACCAATAGCTGAGAGCAAGGGTGCTGTGCCGTCATCTAGCCATTCAATCGTGCATGGTTGTCCTCCATGGCATACGGATCCCTTGGAGGGCGATACCACCTAGCAATACGCGTTCATATTGATCTCGACGCGCATACAAGGCAACGAACGCACGTATAAACCGGCCCGAGCAAACAGTGGCGCTTCCAAAAGTACAAAAGCCAGTACAAATACGAAAACTGAGGAGAACATGATAGAATATCAATTGCGAAGGAGCGTGAGGTTGGAAAGAACGTGAGGTCGCGGTTTAGGATTTTTTTTGGCGATTATTTAAAGAGACGGCGAAATCTGCGAGTGGTGAGAATAAAAGGAGGGAAATCAGATGTAGAATCGTCAAATTCGTTGCAAAGTCGTTGTCGTCGTCAAGCAGCTGCTCACTTTTCGGACCAACTTCGACATCAATGTAAACCACGTGCTCACATTAATATTACGTAACGCCGTAAGAGCGGTGTGATTTCATTGGAGCTCCTGCTCTCCGCTACCAGAGGTACGCTGTTTGGCATTTATTTAATAAATGCACCTCTGCAATCCCTAGGCTCTCAAAATTGTTCAATGCGCTCCCTTTCCTCAAATTTTACTCTTCTTACACGCACACCCAGACTCTTCTCCTCAACCGTCCCCTTGCGACGCCAACGACGACCAGATCCGACATATCACCCAGCAATGTCCACCTTGTCACCATCACCACCACCACCTCAAAACTCCGCCTCCGGCTCGGGGCCATCTCCTACCCCTCCAAAGGTGGTATTTCCCATTTCACCCGTACCACCAAATCCTCTCGGGGGAGACCGGTATATCAAAACAGCCGCTGCTCTTATCATAGGGTACGTTCTCTGAAACATTCAAATCTGATTCTCTGCTGATAGCATTTGCTTCCACAGAGACGAAATTCTCAATGGAAAAACCCATGACCGCAACTCGCATACATTCGCACAGTACTGCTTTGTACACGGGGTAGAGCTGTACGTTCGTTACTCCCAAAGTCTCGCAGTTGTGAATCGTCTTTGACGAGTCCAGTGGGTAAATCTCCAGGAAGCGGATAGAAGTCATTGCAGATAACGAAGATGAGATGTGCGTCATGTCATATGGTGTCGTGTGCCGAGAATTGACCGTCATACGTTTTCCAGCATCGAAGCTAGCAGGAGGTTGGTAAAGGCGTACGATCTGGTAATCACGAGTGGCGGGATTGGGCCTACGCATGACGGTTCGCCTGTCTTCACTTTACCAAGGAACATAGGGGAGTAACTCGTCGCAAAGACATAACTTATCAGTCCCTCGCCAAGTCCTTCAACCAAAACCTCGTCCACCATGAAGAAACAATCCGACGCATGTCAGAGATGAACAAATACCGCAAGTGGGTAGGCACCCAAGACGCACAACAACGCGCCGCCACCCGTCGGATGGCACTCTTCCCTGAAAAAGCAGAAGTAATCTTCGTGGGGGAGGACATTTGGGTGGTACGCACACGCCAAATCAACGCACTCAACAAATAATAATAATAAGACAAAAAACGTCCAGCCTGTAGTCCGACTCGAAGGAAAATTATGCATCTTCCCCGGCATCCCCGCCCTCTTTCAAAAGATGCTGCACGGCCTAACACCCTTTTTGCCCCTTCCACCAAAGAGCGAGCGGCCTCTCCGGATACAGATTTTTACCGAGTACGCTTCACCTTCTATCCACTTTTTTTTTTCTCAATTCAATCTAATAATAAACCCCAATCGCAGACGCGCAGAATCAATGATAGCACCCTACCTAACATCCCTCCAAGAACGTCTCAAACCCCACGGCATCCAAGTCGGCTCGTATCCCGTCCTGTACAAGGGCGTATTTGTGAGCCTTATCGGGCGCGACCTCGAGTCGAAGGAGGATGGTGGGGTGTGGCTTGCAGAGGTCGCGAAGGAGGTGGAGCAGGCTGTGGATGGAAGGGTGGTTAGTGAGGAGGAAGTGGCGGCGCAGAAGGGTGAGGTGGTGGGGAATAAGAATAAGATTGCGGGGCAGATGGAGGATCTGCCCAATGAGTTTGCGGAGAATGATAAGGCCAAGTTTTGATAAGATTTCCAGGTTGGTCCGCCTTCGTCTTCAATGATGTACCATCAATCGCAAGCTGCATTTTCTTGAACTGATTCTTTCATTGTGTACCCTCCATCAAAGGAAAAAAGAGTTCATACACACATACACAAGTACCTATATTTATTGATAAATACGAGTCCATCAGAAGCCCAAAGGGGTATATATATGAACCATTCAAATAGCCGTCCCCGCACCAACGCTCTCCCAAAACCTACGTGATTTCATCAGCACTCTAGCACCTTCCACAAGTAAAAAAGGAAGAGAAACACATACGCGCAACGTTGAAGCAGCCCTGCATTCGTCTGGAAAGCATGAACATCCGCCACACCCGCCGCCGTCACATTGAACAGCATCTCATTGTGCTGCTGCGAGCTCCACGTATTCCAGCGAGGCGTGATGTTTGGGCCGCTGGACTTATCGTTCGGGTCGAGGTTCTGAACAAAGTTTGCGAATCCGCCTGAGAATGCTGTTTGTAAAGAAGCGTTGACGGATGTTCCGGCGGGTATGAACCTGATTGAACGACAATCAGGAATGGTGGATGAGAGATTTTTGGGGAAGATCGTTGACGTACGAAGTGAAGTAGTAGTTGACGTCAGCCCCGTGAAGTGCAGGAGGGACGGCGGATTCGCCCTATGTTCCGTCAGGGCTAGGTCTTCTTCAAAATGAAAGTATTGGCACCTTGAACACGCGTCCGCTGAAAGCTTTGAGGAGGTAATATGTAGGACAAACAAGAATGGCTACGACGAGAGCAAATTCTCGGCTTAAGTCCTCCGATGAGCTGGAGATGGGAAACAAACTCACGCTCTCCCGCAATTAGATTTGCCTGTTCTATGTTGCTTCCAAGACCTTGATAGAGCTTAGCGGCCGTTGTAATGTCTTGTGCTCCGAGATTTGGGAAGAGGTTTGCGATGTAATCGGGGACCTGTACGGTAGCAGCCGTAGTCTGATCCACGAAAGCGTCGCCTTCATGGCTGTTCACTATCGAGAGCAACATTTTCTGTTCACGATCATCCTCGTCAAGAACCATCGCCTACAAACGAGAGCCCAATGGAAGGACCCACTCCGTTGATTTTTCCTTTTTTCAAGAGGACGCTAGGCCGATCAGCTATGAACGTTCCGTCGACGACAGGCTGTGGGGCCCATGTGCCGTAGAAAACGCTCGCCGCGATGTTCATATTTGCAGCTTGGAGAACTGCTGCGTCAACGTTGCGGAGACAGTTAAGGGTGTCAGCTACGGTATTGCACCTATATCAAGTTTCCGTCAGTACCCTCGAGCAAGTTTACAAGAGGATGTCAAGCACTTTGTTTGGGTGACAACACTGTTATAATACGACTGAAATAGGTATATATCAAATTACTCGAGAAGGAATTGATTCGAAACTTACCTGTGGAATTCTATCGTTATAATTATATTGCGAAGGTAAGAAAGTAGAGCTCGTCATTGCGCCTCTGAAGAGTGGAGGGTAGGTATTTCCATTGTTCGCAACGATGTGTTGGATGACGGAACCAGCTCCTGCGGATTCTCCCCAAATGGTAACTTTGGTTGGGTCGCCTCCAAACTTGCTGATCTGCGAGGGCCAGAATTCAACACTTCCAAAAGTAGGATCAAAAGTGATGAGAACCCACATGTTGTTGCACCCACTTGAGGGCAAATTGTTGATCCACTGAGAACATTCATTAACGTGACTCTGAAAGAAAGGGAAAACGGCGTACAAAGACCGGCATTCAACGCTCCATTTGCCTTGATTTGTGAACTCGATAAAAACCCAAGCACACCTAGTCGGTATTGTATGACAACAACGACAACATTTCCTCCAGCTTCCTTGATGAGATCACTTCCGTCGAACACGCCGGGAATCACGCCAGAGGCACTTCCTAAAGTGTAACCACCACTATATCAAGGAATTAACTCGGCAAAAGCTCAAAAGAGGAATAGATACCCATGAATCCAAAAGAGGACAGGCAGCTTTCGGTTTGGTTGAAGAGTTCCGGGAACCCAAACACTTGGTAGGAAAGTTCAAAAAAGGGTACTCAGAGAGGCGGAACATACTTTAGAAAGAGACAATCCTCAGAGATGGGCGTGTCTCTGCGCGAAACTGCGGAAGTCCTGAATGGAGAAGAAGGGGCCACCCCTAAGGTACTCTGGTAGCACTGATTTGGTTGCGAGTTGGCCAGCTGTACCCCGCTGGTTGTGGCAGGTGCTTGCGGTTCTCTCCAACGTAGTGTCCCTAGTAGAAACTTCAGCGTGAAATTCAGCCATACCTAAGGTCATTAAACAGCTTACCTGTAGGAGGCGCGGGATATCGCATTCCAAGAAACTCGGTGTTCTTCGAAGTGGGATTTACCGAGCCTTGATATTTCGCATATCCTAAATCTACGACGTTGACAACGCTTGGACTTGCGGATGTTCCTACAGCGCAGGCCAAGACAAGAAAAGCAGAGAATGTCAGGGATGGCGATACCATCTTGAGGAAGAGGTAGGGTGAAGAACCACTGATGGTTCATCTTCGTTTATGTATCCAGAATGAGGCCGACCTGCGGGTGTCAAAAGTCAGGAAAGCCTGATAAACTGACTTGTAAGTCTCGTACCTGTTGATGGACATAGATAGGCGAAGTACCCTCATCGTTTCAGGAACCACGGCGTAAATATGGGCCCCCAGCTTTCCCCATGCACGGATCAGAATCATTTCGAACGCTGAGAGTGGCCACCCGGACAACATTGGGCCCAACTTTTTTGGGAGAAAGCGGCAGATGCGAATTCCTTCTAGATAGTTCAAAATTGGAGCAAGCAAGTAGTGGCAAGTGCACAAAGACTCAGAGCCACAAGGTCGAGATATCCGTTTGACGAGCCGATGATCGAATCCCGTGTGACGGACGTCACGATCTTCACGCAACAATCGGTCACGCGACGCGATCACGAGCGCGGCTACTATCCAATACGCTTTTCGGAATCTCAGCCAAACACGCTTAGCTCTTCGATGCTCTCAGCTAAGGGAAGATAGTTGGTGAGTGGACCTGTTTTATCTTCCATCAGCACACTGCTGCCGACGGTGGCCAGTGCTGCGCTCGGTGTCACTATTTTGGCGTTATCTGTGCTAAAGGTTAGTAGGTATCGACGACACCATGGACATTGCTCATGCCTTTCAGTCGCTGCAGCTGGCAAAGATGTAAGACACTGGAGGATGCGCGGGTCCATGCTTGGCCACTTCATTCAGAGAAAGCCGCTGTGTGGAAATCCATCCAGGCATGTCGCACGAATCAACGATGTTAATCTTGATGGTACAAGCTGATTCCTATCAATCAAGCATCAAGGTCCAAATTCCAGAGGACACGCAAGGGCCTGCAAGAGCTACAAATTATCGCAAATTGATAATAATTAGGGATTGGACCTGGTGAAGTTTTGAGGGGATTCTAGGAACAGCGACATGCAATTCTCATCGGCCCTGTGATGGCGGCAGCGAGCTGCCAAACGAGACCTCGACACATGGCATCGCTCCTGCTCTCTCCTATACCAAACATTCCTTGAACCTTATCCGCTAAGCCAAGGATAATCTCGAACGTTCGTGTGCGCAATGACATCTACGGGCGAGGCATCCAGTTCTAGACCTGAACGTTCAGTTCTTGGAGAGCCAATGCAGGGGCCGGGCTTAACCAGGCTTAACAATCAATGTCTCTTTGTGAATGGCGCTGGGATGGCATTCGTTTGATCTGTTGCTTTGAGCGTGATATTCGAATGTGTACGATATGTTATTCTGCTCATTTACATATCAAGCGTGGAAGAGCGCCGAAACTTCTAAACCAATTCTAACTACCCATCATGAAAGTCGCGGTATTTGGTGTGCAAAAGGTGGGAACTCGGCCATCATTGTCGTCACAAATAGGCCTTTACGTCCACAGTATGATGTCAAATCGCTCAACGACAGCAACGGTGAAGATAGCGACGTGAAATTCTCGTTTTTCGACGCGCTCCTCGACGAAAAGACAGCCATCCTAGCCTGCGGTCATGACGCGGTGTGCATATTCGTCAACGACATCTGCGATGCTGGTGTGATTGAACAGCTCGCCGGGCTCAAAGTAGTACGTCCTTCGCTCTGGATCAACGCGATCGCCAACGACCTAATCCACTGTCTTACCCCAGCGATTCATCGCCCTTCGATGCGCAGGCTACAACAACGTCGATCTCGCGGCCGCCGCGAAGTTCGGTATCAAAGTCGCTCGAGTTCCAGCGTATTCTCCTGAAGCCGTGGCAGAGTTCACGGTTGGGATGATTATGACTGTAGTCCGGAAATATCACAAGGCCTACAACCGCGTACGCGAGGGCAACTTCCTCCTGGATGGCTTGCTGGGGTTCAACATCTCCGGGAAGACCATAGGCCTGATCGGAACGGGGAGGATTGGCCTGTTGACTGGCAAGATCCTTGCGAGAGGCTTCAACGCCAAGGTGGTTGCGTACGATCCCTATCCTTCGAATCTTGCCGAGGAGTATGGCATATCCTACGTGGATACCCTCGACGAACTTTTCGTTCAGTCCGACATCATCAGCTTGCATTGTCCCCTTAATGCTAGTACGACATACATCATCAACGATGATGCGATCGCGAAAATGAAGAAGGGTGTCGTGATAATCAATACCTCGCGAGGTGGCTTGATTGATTCTTACGCGTTGATTCGGTATGCTACCCACCTTTGATGCCGTTCCAAACACTGACGACTCACATAGAGGACTAAAGAGCGGCCACATATCTGCTGTTGGGTTGGATGTTTACGAAAGAGAATCGTCATACTTCTTCGCGGATTCCAGCGCCAAAGTGATCACCGACGATACTTTTGCTCGGCTTCTTACTTTTTATAATGTGTTCATGACGTGAGATCTAATTTTGCAACATGGTCTCCGTTCTCTTCTGACTTTCAGCAACAGTGGTCATCAAGCTTTCCTCACCAAGGAAGCTCTCGAGAACATTGGTGAGACGACGATCAAGAACTTACGTGACCTTGAACGCACCGGAACTTGCCAATTTATCGTGGAGAAGTAAGTAGATCGAGAGGTTATCCATAATTTCGAAAGCGGCGTCTCTATTATTTGTATTGATATACATATTACAGGGAAGCGTATCAAGGAGTAGCAATGTATCGGACGTGAAATGACATTATATTTGATCAGGGGTCCATGTCCAGCACTGTCTACTTCCCCATATCGCTTCTTGGAGTCAAGTTCTGGCGATCCTTCTCCCTGTCGGCTCACTTACATACCGTGAGAGGATCTGGAACTTTGCCATCTGGGAACGCCCCCCTCCTAGTGAGTTCAATGAGCCGACGACGACTTTACTTTGCCAAGATTGCGAGTGATCAAAATGGAGAAGTTCCCGGTCACAGATCACACAGATCTCTCACATTTCCTTGCTCAGGATGTCCCAACCCATCGGTAAGCTCCTTTCACTCACATAGCCATTTAACTAACTTCCATCCAAACAGCCCTGCTTTCGGTGTACGACAAAACCGACCTTCTGAACTTTGCCAAGGGTCTTCACGATGTTGGTGTCCGATTACTAGGATCAGGAGGAACTGCGAAGAAAATAAGAGATGCAAGGATCCCCATCGAGTGCGCTCTTTTTCTCTCTCAATCACTGATCCTCTTAGTAACGACGTTGGAAAAAGGGACGTATCGGACATCACCAAATGCTAGGCGGACGAGTCAAAACGCTTCACCCTGCAGTCACGGCGGTTCGTATCGCCTCCCATAAAATATATCTACCTAAATTTACTCATAAAGCAAACACAGGAATCCTTGCATGCAACTTCCCATCGGACTCTGAAGACCTCAAAGCGCAAAATATCTCCCCAATCTCCATCGTCGTCTGCAACCTCTATCCATTCACCGAAACAATCGCCAGGTCAAACTGTACCCTAGCAGATGCAGTCGAAAAAGTTGATATTGGGGAGTGACACTTCTCCGCGCCGCGGCAAAGAACCATGAACGCGTCTCCGTCCTCTCCGATCCGAAAGATCACAAAACCTTCCTCGGTGCGTGGAAGGATGGGAAGGGAGATATGGGGCAGGGACTGAGAGCTTCTCTTGCGCTGAAAGCGTTCGAGATGACTGCAAGGTACGATGAGGCCATCAGCGGGTATTTCAGGGAATAATACGCTAGCGCCGAGTTGCCAGCTGAGAAGTTGGCAGGGCCAGTCCAGAGGATCGCGCTGAGGTATGGTGCGAACCCACATCAAAAGCCCGCGCAGGCATATGTCTCCGAGGGAGAGCTTCCGTTCAAAGGTGTGTTGTTCCTTATTCGTCGAATTGTGGTAAATATTGACCGATTTAATAGTGTTGAGCGGATCGCCTGGATACATCAACCTCCTCGACGCGCTCAACTCCTACGCCCTCGTCAAAGAACTCCAAGAGGCCCTCGATCTCCCGGCCGCCGCGTCCTTCAAGCATGTCTCACCCGCCGGTGCAGCTGTCGGCGTCGAGCTCACAGAGACAGAGAAAAAGGTCTACGGCGTCGATGACCTCAAGGAACCTTTAACTCCGCTCGCTTCTGCGTATGTTAGAGCTCGAGGTACGTTTGCTGTCATCGCCTTGTAGGGCTCACTTGAACTCAACCTGCCAGGTGCGGATCGTATGTCCTCCTTTGGCGACTTTATCGCCCTTTCGGCTTCATGCGATCTCGCTACTGCACGCATCATCTCGCGCGAAGTGTCTGATGGGATTATTGCACCTGGGTACACGGATGAAGCGCTCGATGTGTTGAAAAAGAAGAAGGCAGGGAAATATTGTGTTCTTCAGGTGAGTACTCCCATCTCATTCGTGAGTCAGATAGAATACAGATGAACGGATGCAGATCGATCCAAGCTATGTCCCTCCCAGCATCGAGACGAAGCAGGTGCACGGTGTCCACCTCCAGCAAAAGAGGAGCCAGCGGCTAAGACAAGAAGAGAAGAGCTTTCTTCTCAACATTGTCACCAAGAACAAGGAGGTCCATAATTTCTTTGGCCTTCATCGCCACTCACTAATCAAGTCATCCCCAGCTCCCGTCAAGCGCGGTCACAGACCTCATCGTCGCCACACTCGCTTTGAACTACACCCAATCCAACAGCGTCGCATACGCCTTCCATGGGTCCACCATCGGCATCAGTGCAGGCCAACAATTGCGTATCCATTGTACCCGTCCCGCCGGCGGGAAAGCCGATCTCTGGTGGCTCCGCCACCACCCACGGGTCCTTGCTCCCCCTTTTTAAACGCGCGGAAAAAGCCAACGCCATCGACCTATTCATCAGTGGGGAAGTGTTGGAGGGCGGGAAGAAGGAATGGTGGGAGTCTTTATTGGAGGGCAAGGTCCCAGCATTGGAAGAGGATGTAAAGAGGGGGTGGAGTTGGATGGGGTTGCATGCTCTAGCGATGTGTTCTTCTCGTTCCCGGATAATCGGAAGAGCGGGTGAGATTATCTACCTTGCGGCAGTGTAATGGACAAGGAATGTGGTTAAATCATTATACTCTACTCATTATGGAATAAACAGTAATCTAGGGTAATGGTACTATGGTATGAGAAGACGAGATCCAATCCAAAAGATATCACTTTCTAAAAGAAGATCAGCAGAATAAGCTGGAATAATAAAAACTACTCACAAGGTTGTGATTTTCCAATCTGCGGAATTGACGTGCCTTGCAGTGTTGATTGTTGTCACATACCGTTGAGCGTCATCCAACTCGTCGTCAACAGAGTGTTTGATGAGTGCGTGGAAAAGCCAAGCGAAGTATAATTGGTCGTTGTTGTTTGGGGGAGTGTGATGGAACGGGCCATACGGTCCGATTTGACAACGTGAGCGTAGGTGTCACCCAAGAAACGGTGCCTACTGAAGTCAAAGCTAAGAAATACAAAGAAATAATCAATAAAAATACCTACTCCAGAAAGTCCTCAAGGTCAGCCTCTGGAATTCCAGAGGCAACGGAAAGCCGTGTTTTGTTGTTGTGAATCCACGCTTTCCGTGGTCCGCTGCCTGTACCAAACCCTTGCTCGCGAAGCCACGCGTCTAACAGACCCCTGAGGTGGATCGCGTCCGCGAGCGGCTTAATATCAGCTACATGGTCCTGAAGACTCGAGATCTGCCGGGCCTTGACTCCATCTTCGATTTCGAGGTTCGAGATCTTCTCCGCCTTGATCTTATCTTCCTTTTCGAGATTTGATACTCTTTTAGATAGTTCTTCAAAGAGTTGCATGTTGGGTGGGAGCGACCATGTAAGTTGTAGAGAAGGGTGCGGGGGAGCGATAATCAGATTTTGAGCCTCGGAGGGTGACGGCGATACCAATGTGAGTCCATCGAGCGCACGGAGCCGTGGTTGTTCTTCCTCCATAGAGCGGGCCAGCTCGAGGGCCGTGAGGGTCGCGTTGTGAGGCACGGATGTGTCAAAAGACAAGACCTGAAAGTTTTGCGTAACGCGGGCATTAACGTGGATCATCTTGGTGCAGGGCAAAAATAGGAGATATGTAGCTGAGATAGGAGGTAGCGCGAGGGGTATATGAGGGTATAAGTGAAGGGGGGGGGAAAGGGGATGACACCTTTAAGGGTTTCCTCTCCGTCCCGTGACCGCGTGTATTTGAGTTCCGAGTCTGGCGGGTTGCATTCACATCTTTCGCAAAGCTGTCCACAATTTTAGTAACGATATTCTTTCCAAGCTTTGGATGACAATCTACAGTACAGAGAAACATTTTGACAACACATCGAGGTATACAAAATCATGGAAATCACTCTTCTGAATCATCCCTCTATCCTCCTGATCGTCCTCTTCTCCCTCTCACCAACAACCTTGAGCAACCCCTCGTTCTCCAGCCCCTTCATCACCTCTGAAAACTCAGTAACATCAACCTTGACACTACTCTGCTCCCCAAGCTGTTTGACCACCTCAGACCACTTGATACCTCTCCCCTTCCCAGCCCCATCCAACAAGCTCAGCACCTCCTTCCTCATGTCCTCCCTCAACTTCCTCTGCCCAGATCCGGTACCGGTGTTCAGCAACCCCATATCAATCTTCCCAGTACGTGGATCCATCGCACTCGTCCGTATAGCATCGCGCATGAGCCTACACGCCTCCTTCACATCTTCCAACTCGACAAAGTCTGAGAAACGCATGCGGGCATGAGCCTCTGAGAGCCGGATCATGCTCTCCAGCTGACGAGTGGTAGCGGTGATGCGCTTTTCAGAAGCACGCGGGTCGTCTCCCATGTTCCGCATCTCAGCATACGATTTGACGAGCTCCTCTTGTGCCTCTTCGTTTATGACGGGGTGGATATGTGAACGGGCGTAGTCGATGTATGCGGAGAGTTCGTGGATGGGTAGGATGTCCTGCTCGGCTGAGACTGGGACGTCTTCGAGGTATAGACTGGCTATGTGTTGTGCGAGTTTGCGGTCTTGGACTTCGTCGACTTGGTCGAGGACGAGGTAAAGGAGGTCGAATCGCGAGATCAGCGTTGGGGGTAGGTCGATGTTGCGTGTGATGGGTAGGTCGACGTCGTACTTGGAACCAACAGGATTGGCAGCTGCGAGGATGGATGTTCGAGCATTGAGGGTAGTGATGATGCCTGCTTTTGCTATTGAGACTGTTTGTTGTTCCTATTTAATAGCATTAAGCTCGTGACGATATCCAAAGCTGCTGCGAAATCTAAACTTACCATGACTTCGTGGAGCACACTCCGAGTAGCATCGGACATCTTGTCGAATTCATCAATACAACAGACACCCCCATCACTCAGGACAAGAGCTCCACTAATTCAGCCCAATCAGCGAGTTGTTGAGTACTCGAGCATAAAAGACTACCTTTCCAAAACGAGCTGCTTTGAATCCGGATCGCGCGTAACGTAGGCGGTCAAGCCGACTGCTGAAGAACCTTTGCCTGATGTGTAGACGCCACGAGGTGCAATCTTGTGAACATACTGCAGATACGTCAGAGAAAGATCAGAAAAAGAATGTAACTGGAAAGCACACCTGAAGAATTTGAGATTTACTCGTACCAGGGTCACCAACGAGAAGGACGTTAATATCACCTCTGTACCTCGGCCCACCACCTCCACCACCTCTTGAAATACTCTTATTAGTACCACCAAACAGCTGTAACAGAATCCCCTTCTTCACGTCGTCCATCTCCCATATCGAAGGGGCGAGCGACCGGGCTAACAGCTCATAGATATCAGGTCGACGACTAAGTTCCTTCAACTTTTCCTCCAACTCTGCTTTCCGGCTTTGTCGACCTTCGATCCCGCTTTCTTCATCCTCGTCGCCTCCATCACCGACACCACCAACACCTGGAACGTGGTCGCCCCCTGGTGGTCGGGTAGTCTTGTCAAAGCCAAGGGTACCACCTCCACCCAGCTTGACGTGGACGACGTCAAGGTACGTTTTGAAGAGACTTTTCATGGTTCGTTGGCGCGGGTTTACGCGGACAGGTATACTCCGGAAAATGCCAGTCACGACTAGGCGGTCTCCAGGTTTCGATACATCGACCAGCTCATCATAAACGCTCAGAGAGACGGTATGGGGCGTTTGTCCGTCAGGCACTGCGTCGGGAGTCTCTTGCAGGCGTATCACTTGTCGGTCGGCAAACTCGCATCGGTTATGCACGAGCGACATTGTCCCCAGCGATCCGCAAATATCGCGAGGACACCTGGCTGGTTCTTCGATTTTACCGCGGTCAATTTCGACTTGGACGGTATGTGAGCAGGTTAGGCAGCGGAAGAAGGCAACTTTCATGTCAGGGATAACTGGCGTTGCGCGGATGACCAGTCCTTTGATGGCCACTAGTTTATCGGTATCTGAGATGCATTATGTTGGTCCACACTTGGTAACTTTGACCAGCAGGAACATACCTGTTGGGTTCAAATCTCTCATGTTCACGGTCGTAAGTCCAAACGGCCTGACTTTGTAAATCTTCCCCATGATATCAGAAATTTCCTCATCTCCGTCAGCGCCCTCCATTCCATCCACTCCTGCCTGTTGATCCATGTCCGCAATCTCTAACATCAAGTCCTTCAATACCTGGTCCATAGCAGGCACAACTTCCTGGGGGTATTTGACAAGCTGACTGTGAAGTTTTTTGGTGGGTGGGTATGCAAGAAGGTTGACGACATCCAGATTCAAGTTCGTATCTCCCGTAGTCCTCATCCTGCGCAAGTACGTTTCGTATAGAGCCACCTCGCCTTCCTCAGGTGTAGCAAACACACGTGTTTTCAGACCAAGGTCTCTGTCATATGAAACACGATATTTCGGCTTGAAGCCTTTGAGAAAGTTGAGGAATAGTTTCATGGTTTCTGCGAGGTTGACAGTTGTACCCCAGATGGCTCTGATTTCGTCTGGCTCGTCTGAAGGGGCGGCTGGCGCTGAAAGGTTGGGTGCGGCATTGGACATTGGGACATCGAGATGGGTGCCATCTGAGTTGAGGTTGTCAGGATCGGCGTTTCTTACGGAGTGTCGACGTGCTCGGCGGGCAGATGACGTTGGCGTGATGGAGAAAGACGAGTGGATATCTCCACGACGATTTCTAGGAGTCTTTGTAACAAACGGGCTCCTGAGAGAGATTGTGTTTAAATCGATGTTATTACGATTTGTGATACGTACGATGGAAAGTCAAGGGGGTCGGAATCGACTGGACCTTCTGAGGCGGGTAATTCGACGCGTCTGCGGGGTGTTTTCACTGGGGAAGAGCTTGGAAATGCAATAGGAGATGAGCTCCCAGCTATCAACGCGTTAGCTCATTGTGCTCGGTAAGAACGAAGAGACAGTGTTCTCACGAGCGAAAAGGGGGGTTCTTTTCGGAGTGTCCATCCCAAGCGCTCTTCTGGCGATAGCTCCTCTCAAAGGTGTACTTTCGGGACCATTTTGGTAGCGTTGGCGTGCTGGAGTACCTGCAGCTGAAGGGGTCCCAGCAAGAAAGAGAGGGACACCAACTGGTGGGGCCTCAGGCATTGATTGTTCGTTACTGGTGCCATCACCCATCTGTACATCGTCCATCTCCGAGGAGGGAAAGTCTAAAGCTGGAGGAGATGACATAACGTTGAAAGAGCAGTGCTCAGCGATGAGAGAAGAGGTTGGACGCGACGCGACGCGTCAATTTTGGATTTAGGGCAAGAAGTTTGAATTTGATTGAACAAACAGTCGCCTCAATCTAGCCCACCAACTACAACCAAGTATGCCGGGCGGGGATGCACCAAACTTGGATGATATAAGTCAGGTATGTCTTTCTTTCGTTCTCCAACTTTTGGTCTACATTAACTTTCCAGATCAGACTACATTCTACATTCCCTACAAGCCAGGTCCGTCAAGCGAAACATCCTAACCTACACTTCTAAAGAATTCTACTAGATGTTAGTAAACCTACAAGGTCACGGTTACCAGAATCACAGTACCAGGAACGCGACTTCACTGAAGGACCAGATCTGCGTTTGGCTGCATACCGAAAGGCTTGGACAAAGTGCTTCGATAGATTGCAGGTGCGCTTTGTTGGACCCCTTGAACCTATCAGCGCTCACTCCGTTTTCTAGACAATAATTCATAACTTGCAGACGCCCGTTGTCGCTGCCGTAGTTGAAGAAGTACACAGATCGTATACAGACATCCTCCCTGGCTTGCCATACCCAGAGCTTCCAGTCATATGCATCACAGGTCTGTTTCTTCTTGTCTCTTAAAATTCCATGGACTCAATGATTATCGCAGATCCCATTTTTGGTTCTTCCTTTTTGACGGAACTGACAAACCAACTCGAGTTACCAGAAGACACGCCTGATTCCTTGTTCAGCCAAAAAACATTCGTCACGCATCTTCACCCGCCTGATTGTGGAAACATTTCTTCGGCGATGAAGTCTATTGTCAATGGCTTTGTAGAGAGAGAGACAACCTTGGGCAAGGGTACGGTTTACTGCATCTCCCCTGTCGAGCGTTGAACAAATCAACGTAGTGAAGCGTAAACCAGCGACATCGCTTGCGAATTATGACATCACTTTGCTGTCAACATGGTACAAAGCACTTTGTGAGGCTGAAGGTAATTGTGTTACTGCCGTCCAGGTCTCTTTCTTCAACTGAAGGAAGTTCTAGATTTTGATGCGGAATCTCGACCAAACCTCGTAGTATTTCTACACGAGTTCGAGCAATTCGATCCAATTGTTATGCAGGACGTCTTTTATATCTGCAGGTATTGAATATTTTTCTTGTCTTTGCTCTTCGAACTCGCAAAGATGACGTCTCATAGCACACGAATACCCGACCTTCCTTTGGTCTTTATCCTTTCAACATCATCCCCCACGACGTCGTGGCTCCATACCTCGTATTCTCGGGCAACCTTAGCCCGCCTCCGCGTTCGGCGGTTTGCGCTCCCTTCAGGGGCCAAGATTTTAGAGGACATCATTCTAAAGGTTCAATTTAGCCGTTTTATGCTGCCCTTTGCTTATAATTTTTCTCGTCACACAGACTTTCTTTGATGTCGAATTTGAACCGGACGTGATGATCGGTCCAGCTAATATCCAGTATCTTCAAGACTATTTCACGAGATACGACTCTTCCCTCGACAAAGTACTAACGATACTACAGGTAAGCAACTGACATTTTATGCATATCGCTGACTTTTCATGCTCTCTAGTTGATCCACCTGAAGCATTTCAGTTCCGACCCACTTACCGTCCTCATACATGCCACGCCAGGCGTCACATCACTTTCCAGACCCACTTCCTTCAACTTTATCGACTCCCTCGCAGAAAGATTATACGCCCCGTCAACCCAAACACCATCAGAAACTCACGCTGAAGACTGGCGTTCTATAACTATACCTTCTCTGATCAAATCGATCGACGAAGCAAGGACTAGCTTTCGCTCTCGTGCGCGAGGGATACGCGTTGCGTTTGGCTTTATCAACCTCGTCCAATGTTTTATGGTTCTGCAAGGCTATAAGGGTCTGGGCTGGGGCCAGCAGATCAGCTTATGTGATGTATTCGTTGATATTTTAGAGGGGAGTTTGGAGAAGGATATTAAGTATCTGAGTATCATGGTGAGGTACATATATCATGCAGTTTTCTCCTTATCCCTCCCGTTGACTCATATACTTCGTCAGGAAACTCAGAGTGGAACAGCTTCGTGGTCTGCTTGAAGAAATCCAGTTGTATTTCACCAACATCCCAACCGAGGAAGAAGCTCAAGCTCAAATTGCATCCTTGCAGTCGATACTGCCCAATGACGACGTCAGTCTCTCTGAACTGCGTGGGCAGGTAGCCACTGGGCTGAGCGATTGGTTGATAGGATATCTAAAGTTAGCCAGTCTCTCATCTATCTATCGTTTATCGCAAACATTCATCGAACTATTAGCTCTCGACTGACCCCTCTCGAAGAATCACCTCTATGGGATATCTGGTACACCGGTCTCACACCCTTCCCTTCCGAGGTGCGTGTGCCCAACCGATCTCATCTCAAGCATCACATTGAAAGCTTTTTGTTTCCTTCGTAGCTGCTAAATCCATCCGTAAGAGCCTCGATATTAAGTGGTCTACTTCGACCCCATGACTTTGCGGAACGTGACAACGAATCTGAAGAAGAAGACAGGGAAGTTGGGCTATGGGAGCTTCCGGATACCAGTATTCTTTTCAAGCGATACCTGGACAGCGGGAAGATGATTAATGTGTATGATTGGTTCGAGTCGTTCAAGACTGTTTTGGAGACTCAGGCGGAGAAGGGTAAAAGTAGCAGTGGGAGGGGTACGCCGAAGAAGCAAAAGGGGAAAGGAAAGGGGAAGCAAAAGGCGGTGGAAAGTGAGCCCGGAGAATGGGAAGGTGAGGAAGAGGAGGAGGAGAAGTGGAAGCTTGAGGTTCAGGCGAGGTTTATGCGGGCTATGCAGGAGCTTGATTATCTTGGGTTCTTGAAGCATACGGGGAGGAAGGCTGATCATGTTTTGCGTTTGGTGTTTGATGTTAATGACTGAGTTGTTGTATTGGCTTTCGAAAGATGTTGTATTCATTCATCAACTTTGTTTTTGCTTTCTGTTGAATTGGTATCTGGTATTGCATACAATCATTGACCACGATATAGGAAAGCAAGTGGGCTCGACGGGCAAAGAAGTGGAATAAATAGTACATATATAAGATGGAGAAAGGATGGGGCAATGAGTAGGGGAAGAAATGGAATAAATAGTACATACATAAGACGGAGATTCCACAAGCAAAAGTAAAACTACACAAAAAAAGGGAATGAAAAATCGAAAGCGACATTAAATACAACTCCGGCACTGAGGACATATCAAAGCAGGTATAACCTTCTTACCACCGCCCGTAATACGAACAACAGGACTAGGATTCGGCCCAGCCTGCGCATCCTCAACGCCAAACACCATTTCCTTCCAATTATCAGGAACAGGCGTGCCCCCTAGCGCAGCGTGCACGAGCCTTCGCGCAACGGATACAGCTGTGATGTTCCCTGCTACGCTGCCTGCTTTGAACGCTGCCCCGCGTACCATGGGCTGTTCTGCGTATTGTACGAGTGCGGGTGGGAGTGATAGTAATATTGACTCTGCTGCGTCCTTTTCTTCGAGAGGATGTGAGGCACCAATTTTTGCTTTTGGTGGCCGACCACGCCGTTTTTTCTTTGGTGGTTCTCTTGAGGGTGTTAGGTCGTCCAGCGTGAGAGGGGTGCTGGTGTCGGGCGAACAAGCGAGGAGGCGGAGCGGTCGTGTTGAGATGCTTTCTGTATCTTTGTATTTTCCTTTGATGAGGCATTTTTGATGGTATGCTTTTTTGCAGGAGGGGCGGGGGCAGAAGTGCATTAGGGAATTGGGGTCGTCGGGTTTGTAAGGGAGGGAGCAGATGCAGGTGTTTATACCGGGTTTGGGCTGGGTGTGTTGGTTAGTCCAGGGGAGGGGAGGAGAGGGGAGGGGGGAACGTACGTCGATTGTGCGGGCTTTGTATTCGAATGTGTAGCGGTAATAGAATTGTTCTTGTTGGATGAAGATTTGTTCGGCGTCTGGTTCCCATATTTCCCAGAGCTTGAGGACGGGGACGACGTCTTTGGTGGGTTTATTTTTAAGTGGCAAATGGAGGGCAGATGTTGAAGTGGTTACCGTTGAAGGCCTCCGAATTGACTAGATCAAAGTGATCCGAGAATATTCGTTCGTATTTACCGCAGGACTTGGCGTCGCTGGGAAGAGTGGGTGGATAGAACAGCATGAAGGCGCTATAACACTCACAATGATTTGACTACGCTGTGAACGTCTTTCGGGGAATAGAACCACTGGACACGCACCCACACCTTTGAAAAATAAGATGAGGTGACAAGAGGGAGATAGCAAACGTCGCACCTCATTTATTCTCTCCTCATCCTCGAAATCTATAGCCCGTATTTCCCTAATTTTTCCTACCCAATACTCATGTAATTCAAGCTTCTCAGTAGGCTTGCGATTGAACGGCAGGATAGTCGCTCTGGCCGAAAGTTATCAACGACGAAACCGTGACAATTTTGTGGAAATGGACATACGATTGTCCCTGCGAGAATCTATTTTCGTTCCCTTCTTGATCGTGAACTAGAAAACGACGACGGTCAAGATCGCAAGGGGATGATGGTGAGGAGCGTCTGAGTTACCGATAAACGACGTGTAATGTTTCATTTCGTTCCATTGTTCTGGTGTCGGTGCACTTTTGTCGCCGCCCGCTTGTTTCTTTGGTTCTTTTGACTTGGATTTTGCGCGTCGAGGCATAGTAAGCGCGTCAGGGTATTATACTTTGCTGCGTGTCTTGAATGTGCGCGTCAGACCTGCGTGATTATGTCAGCCTAGATCTCTTCTTTCTCTCTCTCTCAACAATGTTATTCCATTTTACATATCGCATTGTTGGGTACGTCTCTTTATATTTGAGAGATTTATTTATTCATCTGGTGCTTCAGTGCCACCGTAGCATTCCTTTATCCAGGCTATGCATCTTACAAGACATTGAGTCAACGCCCTGCTTCCGAGGAAGATCTTGAGCGATGGCTCATGTACTGGTCCGTCCTTGGCTGCGTAGTAGCAGTCGAATACACAACAGAGTGGCTTGTCTCATGGTACCGACATTTCCCCACATTCAATGATATACCCCTTAACCCTACGCCCTTAGGATCCCATTCTACTACACCCTCAAGACCCTCTTCCTCCTATATCTCGCACTACCACAGACCCGCGGGTCTTCATACCTCTACATCAACCACCTACAGCCATTCTTCCATCGCCATGAGTCGCAGATCGATGCTACGCTCGCATCGTTGAAGGCCAAAGTATACACGTTTTTGCAGGAACGTTTCAGGGCGCTTTGGGACCAAATTGTCGCTGCGGCCGCAGGGCAGGGACAGGTTGTTGGGAGACAGGCTAACGCAGCGGCGCCGTCAGCTGCGAACCCAGCTGGACCTACCCAACTCATATCGTCCCTTTGGGGAACCTATGGCCCTGGTATCATCGCCTCTGGGTCGGCGCTTCTTAGACAGACTGCGGCTGCGGCTGGTACTAGACCTCCCGCAACGCCTGCATTCACGCCCTCTTCCTCGGGGAGTACGCAGTCGGTCCTTGATAGGAGACGAGAGCTCGAAGAGGAGTTGGCCAACCTCGCAGCTGCCGATCCTAACGCTGCTGTTCTGACACCCCCTACGGGGTCGAGGCCTAGCGCTTCGCGCGGCTCGTCAGACTCTGATCTGCGCAATAGAGATCCCTCGACGTCGGGGAGGTTTGAGGAGATTGAAGTGCCGAGCGATGTTGAAGGGTATGATGTGGATGGGCCTAGAGAAGGCGAAGTTGGGTACGTGGCTGGTGGGAGACCTGGGGCAGCGAAACGGGGGAGTTGGTTTGGTGGTTGGGGCGGAAGCAATGTGGGTTCCTCGAAGGGCGGATATGAAAGGGTCAAGAGCGACTAGAGAAGAAGATTGACTGCAGCAGGCAGAGGGGGTTCTCATTTGAGTCCTTTGGGTTCCTAATCTCTCGCATTTCCATTTTTTGTAAGATATTCATAGCACATGCTCCTTGTACCCCATCACTCTATTAATTATTGCTCTGGCAGTGGACGTGGTGAGCTTGTAAAATTTTGAGCTCAGTGGCGTATTAGGCTCAAGATACTGACGAGATCTTCGTCGGTGTTAGAGCTAGTTACTCGTAGACGTGTAAGATCCAAGTATATATCGGAGTACTCGGCGGGGATTGATCGACGGACGATGATGAATATTGAATGATGTGACTCTTGAGAGCATCCCCCGAGTCGGGACCAAAACAATTAGGAGTCTATAATACAGAACATGTAGCTGTTAGACTAGAGACACAGTACTAAAGTATCAGTAAAAGAATTGAGAGAAAGAGAAAGAAATGAGATCTGATGATGAGGAGCTGGTGTATACGATATCCGCATTTGGCTTTGGCTTGGCTTCAGAAGGGGTCACGACTGGGAAGCATAGCGCCTGTACCCACAATCACTGGCACTTCCAGTTCGACATGCAAAATCCCTTTTAATTCTTCCATTCCCATCTCCCACCTTCTACCAACGCCCACATGCCACAGGCCCCACGCAAGGATGCCACCTCACAGCGTGCACAGGACAAGGAGTCGAAGCGGGCTAGAGGTAAGGGTGTTCAAGAAGCACTTGGCGTGCGCTAACGGCTTTCTAGGCGCTCTATCTTGTGCAGAGTGTCGCCGGTGAGCAATAACTCATCTTACCAATCCCCCCCCCCCACAACCTGATCGCATACCCCGTTAGCCTCAAGCTGAAATGTGACAAGACCGTACCATGTTCAAGGTATGTTCCTGTCCCACCCCATTCTATTCTTGTGGCTGAGAGGCATCACAGTTGTAAACGGAGAGGCTGTTCTGCAATATGTCCAAACGGGAGTCTAATCACTGGTCAAGGGACAAGGTGGGTTCAGCGTCCGATGTTGTCGCTCGCTCACATAAGTGTTGTTATTTCCTAGATTCGTTCTGGCGGATACGGAGAAGCTGCATCAGAAGATAGCCCATATGAGTGATCGTATACGTCAGTTGGAGGACGCCCTTGCCATCTTGCAGTCGACAGTTAGCAAAGAAACACACCCACTGCTTGACCGTGAGCTGTTGAAGATAAAGTCGAGTATTGAGCTACATTCGGCTGTGGAAGGTGAAGAACATGAGAGTCCAGACCACCAGGAACAAGCGGAAGAATCACAGTACATAGACGCGTTTGGGACCCTGGCTATTCGCGATGACGGAGCTGCTACTTTCTATGGTCGATCCGCAGGCTCGGAGGTGTGTGCAATGTACTATTTATCAACCAGTCGTCCACTAACTTTGGACCTCTTCAACAGTCTCTTCTTATCGTCCGTCCTTCATCTCATTCCCACTACTCATTCCCACTGATATTCATTTTAGGGTGAAGCCACCTCCCCACTCGAACTCTCGCTCCAACGCGACCCCAGCGGATCCTTAAATTGGCCAGCCCAGTCCCACTCCGCCAGATCCACAACTTCACCAGAGATAAGCTCCCTCGCCGCCTCTTTCCCTCTTCCCTCTTCCTCCTATCGATCCGGCATCGACTTGGAATACCTCGTCTCAACCCACCTTCCACCATGGCCACAAGCATACCGCCTCTGCCAACTCTACCTCGACCAAGCACCATGGTTCTTCGGCGCCGTGACGCAACGCCAACTCCACGAAGAGATCCTACCAATGTGGTACAACGAAGCGCCAAAACCGCCTTCAGAACTATTATCATTATCAGCGACACACTCACCCGCTTCCTCACTCTCCTCCCCACCCATGAGCAGCAGAACGAATAGTGACACGGGTGTTACTACAAAGGGCGGTGCACATGACCTTGCGCTGTTGTTCGTCATTTTTTGCTTTGGCGCACTCACGGATATGGAGTTGCCAGCTGCGCCGGATAATGTAGATGCAGAGCAGTTTTATCAGTTGACGAAGGCTTCGTTGACGCTGGAGCCTATTTTGGAGAGACCGCCGAGCGTGGCGACGGTGCAAACGTTGTCGCTTATGGCGATTTATGAGGGGTTGTGTAGTGGTGAGAATAGCATTGAGAGTACGTGGACTCTTATGGGGCTTGCCACGAAGCTTGCGCAAAGTGTAGCTATCTTTTTCTTTTATGTTGCTTTTTTATCTTTCTGATTATGTGTTTTTTTCGTCAGATTGGCCTGCGTGTGTTTTTTCGGTTTCTGTTTGTCTGCCTTGATACTTATCCTTCCATTAGATCGAGATAGTGCACGCTGGAAACTTAGTCCAGCAGAGGTGCAGAAACGTCGTGCATTATTCTGGGAACTCTTTATTACGGATTGCTGGCAGGTCAGCTCTTTCATTCATCCTCAGTAAAAAATACAATGGCACTCATTCACGCTTACAGAGCCTTGCAACTGGCCGCCTCGCAACATTCTCACTCCCTTTTGTCGATTGTGAACTCCCTTCTGATCCAGATCGGACTATGGACGACGATGGAACGCCTCAGCCTAGTTGTACGTTTCTCTTATTTTTAGGTTTGCACTGCTTAATGTCTTCCATACTCCAGTCCCATTCTGGAAGGCTCGATTCGGCGCGGAGTGTGTCTCCGCCGTCGTACAAGGAACCCTTACATCGCGCGCACCAAAGTATTCCATCATTCTCGACTTGGATCGGAAAGTGCGGGACATGGAACTCCCGTCGTACGCTCAAGGTCCGCCACCCCAAGGTCTTGGTCTCGCGTTGACCATGTCCCATTTCATGCCCACGAATTACCGTGAACTCAGTGAGGTCCTTGTCTCTATTCCATTTGGGTAACACTCATAGATTTTTTCTTTATAAAGCTCTTCTCTACATACATCGTTGCTTTTTCGCTCACGCCATTTCAAGCAACCCACTCGATCCAATCAAGAGCCAATACGCTCCCTCTTTCCTTGCTGGATATCGAAGCGCTTGCACCATTATTGGGTCGGTGAAACAGCAGTTTGCAATGTTTCCCGCGCAAATCGCCCGGTTTTGGGTTTTGTGGACGCATGCGTTTTCTGCTACGGTGAGCGGTGCTTGTGTTTTATCACCCTATATGGTGGAGGCTTATGTTTGGTAGGTGATGCTAGCGTCTGTTGTGACACACAGCTCCAAGTGTAAAGTTGCCCCAGCAGCGCTGATGGAATTGAATTCGGCGTGCGAACTCTTTGCAAGTGCTGCGAATCATGGTGGGCGAGCGGTCAAATTTCTTGTTCGTGCCTCCCTTTTGCACGTATACTGCTCAAAAGCTAACCTCTCTTTCTTCAAAGCCTATCTTGAGACGCCTTCAAGGTAAGGCACAGCAAATCTACCGCGAGACTACGAGTGGCATCGCACCCAAGATTCAAAACGACATTTTCAAGCCTTCTGAACCTGAAGACAACAAAGACGAGCTCTCGATATTCAGTGGCAAGACGCACACCGTGGCCACGAAATCTGCCAATACTGCTTCTAACTCCCTTACACCGTTGCGTTCGTCCACTTCCAGGTCTCCTACACAAGGTGGTGACACTGCAGATTCTTCGCGAGCTTCGTCGGATTCACCAAAGCAGGCGTTCACGGATAATCCTTCATTCGCTAATGTTCACCCCAGCTTGGTGAATGAGTTGAATGTGTTTGACGGACATCTCCGAGCGCAGCTGCAGAATGCGCAACGTGCGGATTTGTTTAGTGGTTCTTCTATGGCTGTGGACCGTGGGCCGTTGTTACAGCAGCAGCAGCAACGTCATCAGCAGGAATTGTCGCGGCAGCAGCAGATTCAGATTCAGCAAAGGCAGGAGCGGCAGAGGTTCCAGCAGCAGCAGCAGGAGGAGAGGGAGAGGCAACAGGTGGAGAGGCAACAGATTCTTATGCAGCAACAGGCTCAACAGCAGGCACATCTTCAGCAGCAGCAAGAGCTTTTGAGGCAGCAGCAGCAACTGCAGCAACAGCAGGAGGAGGAACTTCGATGCCGGGAGCAGCTTCAACAACAGCAAAGACAAGAGCAGTATCGTTTGCAAGTGGAGGAGCAGCAACGACTCTTACAGCAGCAGCAACTGCAACAACAGCACTATGGCCACCGCGCAGCTTATGCTCAACCTTCTGGACCAGATCATCCCATGCACGACATCCCACCACCACCACCACCAGCAGCCATTCCCACGTCCGTGTCCTCCGCTCATCATCTCCGACAACTCTCGCATTCTCAGTCTCATCCCAATCTGCAAGTCGCATACCAGCAGCAGCAACACCAACAACATTATCAGCCCATGCCTCACGCTACACCGTCCCGACATCCTACTGAAACTTTGCCGCCTCCTCCACAACAGCGGCACCAGATGTATGCCGTCCCTCCGGGAGAGTTCGCACATCATCATCATCCAAGCCCAGAATCATCCGTCTCCTCACTTGTGCATTATACGCCTCCCACAACGAGCACCACTTACGACGCTCGTCCTCGTGCCTCGCAATCGCACTACCGTGGGGAATCGTACCAATACTGGCCCGGGGCGCCGAGTGGATATGCTATGGAGGAACAACAACCGTATGGCACAGGTCCGTCACAGCAGCAGCAGGCGTACCAACCGCACCAACATTATACCCCCGGAGGTGTTCTTAGAGGGATTGCAGCTGAAGACAGCAGCCTCCAGGAAACGTGGCAATCTTACATGCACAAGGTAGGCAGGCATTTGGTGTCCCATGATGTCCAGCGCTTTCTTACGCCCTTTGATTTTAGGTTGCATCTCCCCGCCATCTCTTTGAGGATTAAACATATGCATTTTTCATCTCACCCATACACGTTATATCATATCTGACCCTATGAATATCCCTCAGGCTATATACCTTCGCTATCGTTGCTATCCTTGTTCTTTCCTTTGTCTTTTCACCAGTTCATTGTATATCACAACCACCTCTACAAAATGTACAATTTTTTTTCTGACAGGCTATCCCAGAAAAAAATGGGGGGTAATATAGTAATAAATATACATAGACGCCCGCGTATAAACTCTCTACTTGTCTCAAGCCCTTTGCAAAGGAACTTGCCCCTCCTGATTTGCGCTTTGCAGAGTTCCAACTCGGTAGGTACCGCAAAAATGGAAGCAAAGAGGATACCAGTCGAATCCGCGAATCCGATAGAGCCAATCTTGAACTCGCGTTCTTGACTCGTTCGTTCAACTTGAATGTTGTTGCGCGTGTTTGGATCTGGAGGTTCGTGAGTAACGCGGTCGAAGACGTTGACGCTAAAGAGTGAAGGTGATTGATGGGACGAGTAAGCATGTGGAACGCGTAAAAGGATAACGTATAGCGTACTATGCCAAGCGGCCGCAGATCCCTTCTGGACTAATCAGAATGAAGACGAGCAAGACGCTCCAAGCCTCATCGCCGTCGTCAAACAATCCTACCGCTGACTCGTAGAATAGGACGACGAGGATAACGGCTTGAATGATGGCGGATAGCGGGAGCATGCTTTGGGGAAGAGCAGGGATCCCGAATGAAATAGAGGATCTGGACAGGAAGACGGTTGATTGATAGACAAGCTATAGTAGAGCGTAAAATCAGTTGATCAAGAATATGAGGAGAATGGAGCGACGTACTTGCCACAGGGGATAGTAATCCCTGACTGAGTGGATGATCTTGCTGAGCAGCCAGTGATCTTTCGCCGATGGCACAGGATACAGAAGTGTCGGACCGATCCCCTTGATTGTCGAGAAACACGGATCAGAGGTTGGTGAGTCAGTGAAGAGGAGTTCAGACAGACCTGATTGATGGTGTACTCAAACTAACGCAAGTGTCAAATGATAAATTCAGGTGTATAAAGATGGCAAATGAAACTCACGAGATAAACGCAGACTAGGTAGACATCCATAGATCAGCCAATTACGCAGCAATAGGAAGAAGAGATGCCTACATAATGGAAGCATGTACTTCAGGAGAAGGGGCTGAACTAAGCGCCACACCCTGTTTGGGTCCGGGGGCGAGAGTTCCTTCTTCTTCCCCATCTTCATCTTCATCTAGGGCGATAGGAGTGTATGGCTGCGCCGAAAGCGCCGGGGGCGGGCTTAAAGCGTCTTCATAGACAGTTGGCGTAACAGAATAGAGGAAAGACGAGCTATGGGGAAGCAGGAAGGAATAGGCGAGCGGGATTATTAATGGCATGATCTAAATCAGATGTAAGGGACAGGACGAAGATACAAAAGGGAGAACTGACTGATGATGACCCTACTCCAACGCGGACACCCAAACCACGCATCTCCCACCAAATAATGGGCCGACCAGCCAGCAGCTCCGGTACTCGAAGCAAAATAGCTACACACATTATCCGATGAGAACTACCCAAAGAAGGTCAGGAAGACATACCCGACCTGCTATCTGAGGGGGAGAATATGTGGATAGTTGTAAGAAAGTAAGTTCGCCGAGACGTTTATTGAGAAGTTGGCCACTTTAAAGAATGATTGAACCCAGCCGACGAGAAGTATGCAAGGCTGATGCCGAGAAGTCTCATGGCAAGGCTATTAAAGAATGCGACGATTTGCAAGAAAAAAGTAAGCAAGCGCTTGTAGGTTAGAGCTGCGAGTGAACATATCAGCATTCCAGCAGAGCTGAGAATACAGCATCCAATGAGCCGCTTTGTGTAACGTATCCGGCCCTTGAGGATGTACGGCCAGCCAACTTTTGCTGCAAGAAGGCGAGGGAGCTTATCTCTGGCGATGTTGTGGATCTGGCTGAGTGGGCTGGGCTGGGCTGGCCAGACGGTTCCGCTGGGGTCGCGTTGGAGCGAGCGTTCGAGTGGGGAGGTGGCTTCGCCCTAAATGAATGTTAGTCTTGAGTAGTGGGAATGAAATGAAAGACCAACAATAAGAAGTGACTGTTAGACAAAGTTACGGTTGATAAATTGTACACCTCCGAGCATGCCGATCGACCATAGAAAGTACAGTAGCGGCTCCGTCATCGCGAATAGCCAGGCCTCTATATATTGTGATTCTTCCGCTTGTTCCTGGTGGTCTGGGCTCTCATGTTCTTCACCTTCCACGGCCGAATGAAGCTCGGCAGTACTCGACTTGATCTTCAACAGCTCACGGTCAAGCAGCAGGTGTGGTTTTTTGCTAACTGTCGACTGCAAGATGGCAAGGGCGTCCTCCAACTGACGTATACGATCGCTCGTGTGGGCCATCTTCTGATGCAGCTTCTCAGGGCACGTACGAACTTGAATATCTCGTCGGGTGTTCTAGGCCGGGGAGTGATGACCTGAGAATCGGGTAATCGGACGTGTATACCGGAATTAAGGTCATCAAAGAAGATACCCCCAATTCCGCGCGTTTCGTTGCGGTGAGGGAGGGTGAGGGATGTAAAAGTACTCGTCGCACCATTTTTTGAAGGTTGGGTAGAGTTGGGGTCCGTGTGGGTTGCATGCGGATTGGAGGGTTTTGTGGAAGTGGGAGGCGTCTTCTGGGTAGAGGTATGAAGGGGTTAGGTCGGAGCCGCCTCCGAACCACCATGCTAGGACTTTTGGTGGTGCGTCTTCGTCTTCGTCGTCGTCGTCGTCGGCGTCCGGGGAGGTTATTTCGAAGTAGCGGTAGTTTGCGTGTACGGTTGGTGCGTGTGGGTTTCTTGGGTGTATCACTAGGCTAAGGCCCGCTGCGAAGAAGGGGAGGCCGGTGGGAGAGTCCTATCCAAGGAATAACTCATGTGAGCGAGCGACAACATCGGAAAGTATACGGACTGAACCCACCTCAGGCTCGTCCCTTGACCAGTGATTAGACTCCCGTTGGGACATATCGCAGAATAGCCTCTACTGTAACGTCTGAGCCACGAGAATAGAATGGGGTGGGACAGGAACACACCTTGAACATGTTACGGTCTTGTCACATTTCAGCTCGAGGCTACGGGTATCGATCAGGTTGAGGGACTAATAAGATGAGTTGTGCTCACTGGCGACAGTCTACACAAGAAAGAGCACATAGAAAGTCGTCAACGCATGCCAGCTGCTTCTTGAACGCCCGTACCTCTACCTCGCTTCGACACCCTGTCTTGTGCACGCTATGAGGTGGCATCCCTGCGTGATGCCTGTGGCATGTGGCGTTAGTAGTACATAGGTCCGGGACCGAGCAAGTCAGAAGCAAGTGCACTCTTGTGTCCAGGAACTGCTCATTCAATATCAGCACAGAGGATGGCGTGTAATGATACATAACCTGCTCGATGCGACCTGAGCTATGCCCAAAGCCTGTAATCTTCTCGTATGGCATTATTACCACTTGCGTCGTAGTACTGAGACTTCTTGTTCAGAACAAAGACGAAGAAAAGTACTTTGTGTTGTCTTATGAAAGCCTTATGTAAAAATCTATTGTGCAAAATGAAGTGTGATACCAGCAAACTCAGAACAATCCTTCAAAGTTTTCCTCCACTTCTTCGTATCTATCGTAGGTTTCCCGGCAGCTTCCCAGACTCTTGCAAGCCATCCTGCAACGCCCTTCCAAGGCGTGTTGATTTGAAATACATGGAGATCCCTCAAAAGGTAGCCGTGGTCAGCCGCCTCAGCTTGCAGACTCAAGTCGTGGTCCAGTCGTCGCTGTTCAGTAAAGGGAGAGCCAACTTCAATGGCGGCATTTTGCCAGCCCAGCTTGTGAGCAATGCTTCGTGCGAGGAACCGGTAGTCATCCCTCTGCTTGAGAATTTTCACGGTCTCCGCTTTCTCCTCAGCCGTAAGAGATCCATAAAAAGGGTTTTGATCATTCACAAGGGCATTGCAATGGCGGAGAAGATAGACTTCTCCAAGTGTCTCTGGTGGTGCAAATCGAAGGTGGTCCCTAGCAAGGCAGAGATACATGTTTTCATTTTCTTCTAACAGGACTGATTCCGTATTTTGCAGGATAGGCGATGAGTCGCCAGAGGCAGGTGGGGCTTGAGATGGAGGCTGAACATTATTTCGCTGAAGGGCAGGAGAGTTTGTCAGGTCTGCGAACAAGGGTTTCCAAACAGTATCATCTTCCCGACATGGGCAGATTTTGAAGTCGGCAGAGGCATAGGTTCTACCCATGTCGTTTCGCAGTTTATGCAACCAATCCAAAACGTCTGATGTACGCTTACGCGGCAGCAAGAGCATCGGATGTCGCTGCCCCTGACGAGGGGGACCAAAGTCGTGTTCCATTTGTGCAAAGGGGTTTGAGTAACCTCCGCTACTATAAGTTGGAGTGTCTGTGACAGGGCCGGGTTTAGGTGCTCGCAGTCCGTACTGGTCGGCGTGCTCCGCTAAGAGGGCTGTGGTGAAGAGCCCACCACGAAAATGGCCAGAGTCCGACTCCACAATCGAAACTGATTCCTGGTCTGCTCCAGCTGCCGCAATAAGATTCCATCGCTTGCTTTTCCAGCGGCCTGAAAAGCAAGCGGTGATGATGAGGTAAACTGTTGCGGCACAGCCCTCTAGAGCGCACTCCACTTCAAACGGATGGAGGGTGATGTGATGGTATGCATCGCCCAAAAACACAATTCCCTCCTCTGAGCCATGTCCGCAGATAACGAGAAACAAGGTATCATCAGCGGTAAGCTTTGGCACGAAGTCCCGTATGCGCTGAAGGTAGGCGTAGCGGAATCCTATCAGTTTCCTAATTTCTCCGACTGGCTCCACTGTATCGACGATTTCTTCAAATGGTGGTGGTACGAAGATTATCCTGTCGCAGGCTGGGTCGCCAAGCAGAAAACCAGGGCCGCTACGGATCTCTTCACCACAAAGCCATGAGCTATTCTCTTCTGGACAGTCAAGCAGGGCATTGAGCGCCACGAAATCCGTGGCTTGCCAGTGGTTGAGCTTAAGCGCGGTCGATGCCAGTAGCCCGATGACGTAGCGTCGAGTTTGATCCGTCATTTCTGGACTATCGGAGGCAAGGGTTATGTGATGTGCGGAAAGGCCTTCAAGTTGGTCAATAGCGGGCAAATTATCTGAAGCGCGCGCGGGGGGCGGGGGTCAGGATGCGCAGAAACACAGACAAGGTTCAGAAATACTTCGCTGGATTTGTTGAAAGCTGCCAGAGGCCTGTTGCGAAAAAACTACAGCAAGGTCCAGTACCTTTTGGATTGGAGTCGGGACGGGGACGTAGGAAAAGACTCCAGAAGCGACAGAGAAGATGATATTCTTGCAGAGTCTGAGAGCCATTGTTTTGTTATATGTAACGGTGCGGTCTGAGTGGAACAGCAGAAGGAGAGGAGAAGTTCTGTGTTGAAGCTCTCCCCGTCTCACTTTCCTTATGAGGAAAGTTGATCGGCTGGGGGATGATATAGTACATGACGAACCATAAAAATATATGCCTTTGGTGTAGTGGTTATTTGTGCAGGTTTCTTGGTGCTTACCAGAGTGTTTGGTGTTCGATTCTGCGTCCTCCATTTTTTTCTTCTACTTATGTCAGCCGATTTAACGGGATCTCTCGGATCTCTACCCTTTTGGGAAGGTGCACGTGACCACGTGACCTGGTGCGTCGTGTCCTCCTCCCATTTCTCCTCCCCCGCCACCGCTTCGACCACTGCGTGTGTCCCCTTCCAAAGTTTTACTTGTACTGTACCATTTTGCATTTATTATACATAAAAATGCAATTTTTTTTCCAGTCCTGGCTTTCCCCTGAGCAAACATGCAGCCTTGTCCCAAATGGACCTCATGGCGCATCCTTGATTGGGGCATGGGCACCATCAATCTTTTGGTAAAGATACAAAACTTGCAGAGTGTCTCTGATGCACCAGTCACTACATGTTTATCACTTTTTTTGCTCTTCAGGGGAAAATTTGAATGGTGGTTTGCTGCAAGGGACTGAAAATAAGTCAGATAAGCACACATAAGTCACCATAAGTGCTTATGTGCAATGGATTTAGGTTAAATCAAGTTCAATTTAGTGGATTTAATGTCCTGTGATGCCAACCAGCTCAATTCAAGGTAGCTTTCCATGAGCTGGCCTATCCCTGCACCCAATTTAAGGGTCTTTTGGTTCAGGGTACTAACCCCTGCTATAACACATTGGCTCATAAATCTCTCTGTAACCTGTTCTGTCATTAGGCTTCTTAAATGTAATTCTCATAGTGTTTCTTGTAATGTTGCAGCTAAGGATGTATATTCACATGATGGGTAGTACATGAGTGGCAAAAAAGAGCATTCTATCCTGCAAAACTAAAACATGGCCTTGCACTCATTGAATCTTTGGACATACCTTGTAAATCCCCCACTTCCTGATGCGTGTTGTGATGCATGCAGCACATCATTTCCATCCCAACACATTTGTTTGCACTTCATGAAATCATAATCGAGCACACGAGCATTTGACCTCTGGAAAGATGGAAAATGTGATGGGAGCCAAGCTCCATGTGGCATGGTGTTGACTGTGTCGCATTGAGAGGTTGGCTGCAGCAAGAGGGGGTTGAGAGAGACAAAGGCGAGAGGCATTGTACAGAAGTCAGGGTACGTAAAAACAAAAGAATTTCACACAGAAAACAGAATCCAGTGATGGGTGTAATTTATTGAATTTAACATTCAGTGCCTTAAATCAAGTGAAATAATTGTACTTATGTCATCGAATTTGAGTGGATTCATCCCAAAAAGGGTTTGTGTCACTATCCAGGAGATCCCTGAGACTTTTCAGGGATCATGCCTCGGACCGGACCCTTTACGTTCCCCATCACATCTTATCAGTGTGCACACATGCTTCCCTGCCCTTGCCTTTTGTGTGCCCAAAGGAGACATGTCCCCTTGTTCTGTCTTTCCCTCACCCCCTCCCTCAATGCACTCTGCATCTCAGCCTCCACCATTGATGTGGGTGTCGCTTTGCCTGCATTCCCCTCACTTTCCACCTCCTCACTGCCTGGGGGAAACACTCTGCCCCTGCCATGCCTATGGCCTTGCTTTTCTGTCATTATCACCTGCATCTGCCTCCCAGGTGCCTTTCTTCATGATTTTGGCCATCCCTTCAACATCCCTCTGTGCTCTCTGTTTCATATAGATGTGAGTGGATCCCCTTTGATCTTTTTCCAACTTTCTCACTTTCTACTGTCTTGTTTTTTCTTCTTTTTAGATTCTGCGTGTACCTTTGTTGCTCATCCCTGTGGCTTCCCTGACTTCTTCTAGGCCCATGTGCACCTCCCTCACCTGCCCTTAGTTTGTTGTGCCCTGCTGGTGTTGTCTCAGCACCCCCCAGTCCTCTGGTGGGAGGACCAGTCTGCAATCTGGGAGTTCACTTGCAAAATTTACAAGAAGGAGACTCAGAGAAGTTCTGTTTGAGACCTGTGATTGAAAGTTTACAGCCATGTGCGGAACATAGGTGTAGCTGTCATGTGACATCACAACCTCTTCTCTCTATTTTCATTCCTATCAACACCCTCGAATTCCTTCATCATTCTCGGTCTGGCATAGTGTTCGAAAGTCCGGTTAGGTCCGGTTATTGGGTGCCCAGGGGCTCTAACCGAGACCGAGACCGGTTAGCCTTTGTCCCGAAACCTAAAATAACCTAACCGGACTGCAACTAACCGGTTACGGTCGGTTATTTGCAGTTACTAACCGGTTAGGACCGAAAAATAAAGAATCGGTTATAACAAGGCAAATATGCTCATGTGTATCTTGATAGATATTATTTCTGCATATTCTAGCTTTAAAACGGGCCCAAGAACGCTAAAATCGGTGAAGAATTGACATATTTATGCAATTATCCTTGAAAGTCTACACATTTGAGTGATATTTTAGAGATTTGACTGTAACTTAGTCAAATTTTAAGCATTTTCGACGTTCTCAAGTGCGTTTTGAAGGTGTATAATAGGGCTGGTTATAACCGGTTGTAACCGGTTATTTAACGGTTAGTTAACCGCAAAATAACCGGTTATTCCATTTTCGAAATCAACTAACCCTAACCACAGTTAGGTTAGTGTTGTGGTTAGGTCCGGTTATTTTCCGGTTATTTTCTGGTTAACTAACCTAACTTTCAAACACTAGTCTGGCACCTGATTCTTTTATATTGGTATCCCAAAGGTCCCCCCAATTTACATCACCCCTTATTTACTTGGCAATGGTATTTAAAGAGCCCCTCTTGTTTGTAACTACTCAGTTTTGAACGAAGATACTTTTACCCAGTCTATTTGAATTTGAGACTCTACCATTTTTCTGTGTGTTGTTACTGTGACCCAATCATGCTAACGCCACATATTTTTGACTGAACCTCATATCTTAACTTGTTGCTCGTTGACTTGCATGGATCACACTGGTCTAATCAACCAGCTACTCCTATGACCGATGAACACCACTCTCACTATGTCTTGTTATAACCTTTGTATCCGCCTGTCCGCAGTCACATCCACTAGTCCTGTCACAGACATTTCTGGTGCACCTGTAAACCCTTCTCAAATTGCTAATGTCTCGCCTTCTAGTTTGTTCTCAGCTAGTCTTGGCCACACTGTTGCAGAGGCTCCATGCCTCAAGATGGAACCCTCTGATGTCTGTGTCGTCGGCTCAGGCAAGACTAATTTAGAATTTGGGAATGATGTTAATGCGGATAATCCGTTCATTGACAAAGAAATGTACTCAACTATGTGGGCGACACCTGGTAGTCATCGTTCCCATAGTGTTGATACCCCTAAGAGAATGTCTGAATTGAATATGAATCAAGTTAAAGTTGTGCAACTTGCACATGAGAATTTAACAAGGAAACAGAAAGAATTAATCTTGAAACATGAAGATCACATATGAAAGAAGACTTACTCCCATGGAGAAAGTATCTCCAAAGGAAAGGGAGTGGATCCCCAGAACTGGGGAAATGTTGGTATCTCAGATACTGACCTTGACATTGAGGCACAGGCATCGATGTTAGAAAAATTTAAAGCAAATCATAATGCTGAACAACGTACCAATGCACAAGTTGTTAGTCCTGACAGGGACACCATCATTAAAAATCCTGATGAGGATTTGATCAAGAGCACTGATGAAATAAGTGTTAATAATGATGAAAAGAGAAAGAAGCTCAAGAAGCACACCAAGAAGTCTAAAAAGGTTTACAAATACTGAAGCGCTAGCATGCCGCTCTCCTGGGAATATGAAAAAGAAATCAGCAAAGCAGCTGGAGGGCATCAGGAAAGACCTACCAAGGATGAAGAAGGCATTGGAAAAGATGCTAAACATTTTGCACACAATTTTAAACCAAGTGCTCAGATTAATCCTAAGAGTTACTTGGGTGCAGCCTTTAAGGAAGCTAAAGAATTTAAGATTCAGAATCATGAAGGCTGTAAGACTCACATTAGCTGGGATTCTAGTTCTGAGGATTTGGACTCTGAGAGTTCTGACTCAAGTTACAGTTCTGAATCTTCAGACAACTTGAGCATGGACCCTCTCAGTGACTCAGACACTTCCATATCTGATTCCGACAGCTCAGACTCCAATGTTGAGAGTTCTTTGGACTTTGACATGTCTAGTGTGTGCAGGTCTGGTTCAGTCTGGTTTTTTGCCCCGAAAATGCGCAACTATGGACTGCAACCGGTCAAGGACTGACCCAAATATTGAGGGAACCAAACCGGACCACCTAGGACCGATCTTTTGTGGTCCATGGACCATGTTCAGACCAATTCAGACCGGTCTTTTTGCGTAAAATTTGTCATAGCAATATAAACCATTTGTATCTCAATTATTATTACTCCAAAAAATAAACTGGTTATATATCACAGTAAAACATATAAATACCCATCATTCCACCAATTATCAGGAAATTTAATGAAGGTTTGACATAGCTATGACTGAAACCGAATTATGTCTCCTAAAGACTCAGGCAGAATGTAATGTGGCAACTGTAAATTATTTGATGCATACCATATATTGATAGATGGTGAGTATATTTTCATAGTTAAAATGTCAATATCCAAAAATTGAATCAAGCAAAATGATGTAAGTTTGAGTGAGTTAGAATTAAAGTCATTCTGGTACAAGTTGCACAAACAAGTATTTGTGCCAAAATGGATTTGGTTATATCTTTCTCAGTTCTTAACCATTTTTGATGAACCAAAAACCCAATTAAAGGTAAAAAACGTGGTTACAAGGCTATGTAACGCACGTGACCATTTAACTGGTTGCAACCAATTTAAACCAGTCTTTGAATGGTTTTAAAAGATTTTTGAAATGAGGCAACCAGCAACCGGACCAACCCCAAATTTGGGCAACTGCAACCAAAAAAGACTGGACCATGGTCTGGTTCAGTCCAGTCCATGTTTTTTTTTTTGGTCCTATGGACGGGACCTGTAAACACTAGACATGTCTGATGATAGCAACGAAGGCTATAAGAAAAGGCACAAGAAATCAAAGAAAAATCGCAAAAATAAGGGCAAAAAGCATACCAATAAGTCTTCCTTGAAGCCTATCCCTCCCAATAAGTATGATGGAACACTGAACACTCAGCTCTTCCATAAATTTATGACTCAGTCTATGGCTTATCTGGAGGATGGAAATGTACCCAAACATCACCATGTATATGTTTTGTCCAATTTCCTTATGGATAAGGTGAACACTTTTTATACGTGTGATATATCCCATGATCCTAAGCAATGGACTGCTGTGAAGTTTTTCAAGGCATTGTTTGATGATGTGTTTCCTGTTAATTTCTGTTTAAAGCAACACAAGAAGTTAGACAGGTTTTATCAAAACAACAAAACTGTTAAAACTTACATTGCTGAACTGGCTGAGCTTTTCATGAGCATTGGCTTCTCAGACAAATGAGAGCACGTCCACAAATTGTGGAGAGGATTGCATCACGACATTCAGAAGGAGTTGCAGAAGGAAAAATTGAACCCAGAGATGTCATCTTGGAAGAGGGTTGCATGCCATGCCAAAATTATTGAGTTATCGAATTTGGTTGGTGTGTATGACCCTGCCCAACACAATCAGGGTCCAAGCAGTCGTGAGGACAAGAAACCATTCTGTGATTGTTCTGACAGACATCGCTGTAACTGTGATGGGCATGAATGATATGGCAGTCGAAAGACCAACAGTATTCCAGGATTCTCTTCAATATGTAAGAGGTCCCAAGAGCACCATGAGCATGGTAAATGAAACTATAAGGATTTTAAAAGATCTAAAATGTCAGATAAAGAAAGGGAAGAATTACATGCTGCAAATAAGTGTTTCATCTGTAAAGAGGTTGGACATACTGCATGCTCCTGCCCTAATAGAAACAAAGTTGCTTCCTCATCTAGCAACAAGCTTCCAGGGCTCCAAAACTATAACATCAAGATTGCACCTGACAATGGACTGGTAGCTGCCAATTACATGATGTAGTTATGGCAGCTGCCATAAAAAAACTTGATCAGCTACCGTGAATGAATGAAATGTAAGGTTTTCATTCATTCATGATACCTGTTTCATTTGAGATATTTTCTTCTGTTTCATTCATTCCTGGCAACTGTTTTATTTTTATTTATTTATTGCCATGGAGAATAAAATCATTTTTGTTTCATTCCATTTCATTTCAATTCTTTCTTCATTCTTACCAGGAAGAATGAAATTTATTCTGTTTCATTCATTTCTGGCAACTACTGTATGTAATCAGATACCTGGTCACCTAAGGCCAATTTACAAGTTTCTTCATGAAGAGTTCATATTCTTCTAAAATAGCTGTATAGCTGTGTGTTATAGCATCTTTGATACCACTCTCTCAATTTTTGTAATTTTAGGTATAGTATTTGCTTTTCTATGAATTTTTTTCGAACATATGTCAGGTCTGGAAGTGGTTATCTAGTACTCGGGCAGTGCATCACATGTGTCACACAGCCTGTTCAGCTCCCACATCAGGGAACCTGGACTGATTTTCAAGCTGATAACGCACCGATAAGCAACAGTGATGACATTACCCTCCCCTCCTCGTTTGCAGTGTGTAGCGAGGTGCAGGAGGAGGCTCCGAATTTGGGAGTGCTGCTCCTGCGGTGCTCAATGCTGGTATGTCAACCTGCACATTCGAGGTACTTGGCTCATATTCAGCAGGGGCGTCCACCTCCATTTCTGCCTCTACAGCCTGCTCCTCAGCTGCAGGTTGTGGCCTTGCTCTACATGGCCTAGGAACTTGTTGGCATGGTTCTTTCTGCTTCACAGCTTGAGAGGAACATGTCAGCCAATGTTTCCAGGTATGTGAATTCACTTGCCTACTGCCCCCACACCTGCATTGTCATCTCTGAATTCACCTGAGTCTTCAGAGCTGCTTTCGATATGCCTGCTGTTACCTTTTACTCCCTTCTTCTTGGCCGCCTTGGCCTTGGCTGTTTTCTTTTTCTTTTCCTCCTGCAACACCTGCTTCTTCAACCCCGCCTCGTAATCCTTGACGTATTTTACCACATTCACCATCTCTCGCCTCCATGCTGTCTCCTCCTTCTCTGCTGCTGCTTGAGCTTTCTTTTCCTGGACTGCCCGTCACTTTTCTTCATCTGTCCTTGTCTTCTCCTGTACCACAAGATTACGATAGTACTTGTCGATGTCATCGTGCTTTTTCTTGAATATCAGCTTTGCCATTTCATGGAACTCCTTGATGTTCGTGCGCCACTGTGCTTTTGCACCCTCATCCAATGACTCTTCTGATGTCATGTGGCACGCCTCTGCTGTCGTACGTTTATCCTTCTGCTTCTTCTCCTTCCAGTGCAATCGCTGATGCAACTTCTCATTCTCACGATCCATTACCTGCTTCTGAGTGTGATCTTGTTGAATCTGTTCTTCTGTGAGCTTGAGTAGCTGAAATAACTCTTTGTTTTGGTCCCGGAGCTCCTGACATGATGCAGTGCCCTTCAATGGCTTTGGGATCTTCAAACTGAGTCTGGGTAAGTCACCTCCATCACCAGGAGGTGTTTGAGAGTTTAAAGGCAAGACAGCAGGTCCATCCACTGTTCTATTAGACGAATTCGAGACATGGGAAAGTGTAGTTGCCTCCATGGAGGTGGTAGCTGTGATTGTGACAAGCTCGGAAGATGGAAGAGTTGTCGGTAAGGGCTGGGCTGCCTGTGTCATTGTATTTAATGAAGGATCAAAGACATGTGGGTCAAGGGCATTGCGATTCATCAGCCATATGCCTGTCTTTTTGAACGCTGAATGGATTGTTTCACTCTTGAAAGCACATTCTTGAGCTGCTGAATATTGTTCAATTAGGTTGTATTTTGTTATTGGAATGTAGTTCCTGGCAGCCTCATTCACCTGTGCTTTCCAGCTTGACGCAAGAGGACCAAAGACACCAACATCGCAAGGCTGCAAGACATGCGTTGTATGAGAGGGTAAGCAAATTATGATGATCTTGTGGTCCTTAGCAAATTTGCTGAACTGGTATGTGCAATGCGAGTTGTGCCCATCGAGAATGAGTAGTCGATAGCCACCGGTCTTATTGCGTGCAGCGCTCATTGGTTCAAAATCTCTTTCAAGCCATTTTGCGCCAAGTTCTTGGTCGGTCCACCTGTTAGGCGAGCAAGCGACACTGGATCAGAAAAATGTCATTGTGTTGTAGCATATCAAAATTAGTTGTTTGACTGACCTCGCATGACATGGATTACTCTTCGTCCAGCCCAAGTTCACCTGCTTTCCTTCAAAAATAATTGTTGGCTGTAAAGAAGATCCATCGGCACAGACCATTTCAATTATAGTTACTAGTTCGCAATTCCTGTGTTTGATATTGTAGACATTTTTCTGGCTTTGGTCAACAATAGCTGCAACATGTTTACCAACCCCTAGCTGTACACCCTTTTCATCCATGTTGTAGATATTCTCCATCGGTATATTAAACTCTGTTACAAGCTCCTCCAATATGTCGAAGAATTTATAGATGGTAGGACAGTTGACATTGTTGGCTCGACACTGCTCCAAACTCTGGGTCCACCGTGTTTTGAGATCGGGGTGTTGCTCCATGAATTGCCCCTGCCAGGAAGTCCCAACTGGCTGACCAGCAATATCACTGGCATGATCTGCAAGACTAGATGGTGAGATTGGGACACCCCGCCAAGCTTGTACCTTGGCCCAATCTGCAAGAATGCGCTCCTGTGCAGCTGATAGGAGTTGTTGAAACTCGTGTGCCTGTTGGCGAGTCCCAACACCATTATAACGGTCAGTAAGTGTAGATCTTGGTACACCATAGGCCTTAGCAGCCTGTCACAGTGAAAGCTTTGGTTTCCCACCAGATGCAGGTACACTAGCGTTAACGGCTTCAATAGCAAGTGCAATGTGCTCCTCCTGTGGAACAGCCTCAGGGTCTGGAAGTGGTGGGATAACATTATTGATATCAGGAACTGAAAAAGTGTTAGTTTCAGTAGATTTTTGGGATGGTTTCTGAGGCGATCTTCGAGGCACTGTTGAACACATTGAGAGGCAGTAGGAGGGGTGTACAAGTCTAAATGACTTCTTCCTTCTCATTTTTAGCTCAAATATGACTCTAGTATTTCAAGAGAGGTATCTCAATTGAGATACCTCACTAGATTGTCAGTGATCACTAAAAATATGTGTGTAAAAATAGTGAAATTTCACATATTCCAGCACTTTTTCGGGAGGGAGAAGACTGATCAAGTGCAGGTTTTTTGCGGTAGAGAGTATTGGGGGATCTCAAATGTTGATTTTGACCACCCAGTTTGTCTCAAAGTCCTTCCAAACTCAATAGAAAATCTCAAATGTCCATGTTATCAAAAAAAGGTCATTTCAGTGTATCATTACTGCAAGACCCAGATAAAATTGGTAAAATTATTTTGAACATTGAATCCAGCTCTCTAACATGTGTTTTACCAGTCTCAGCTAAAATTTCTCAGGCTGTCTTTGTGGTGTTCCCAACAGTCCAGTCGCAAGATGATGTGCCTGCACTTGACAGAACATGTATCTAAGCCCAAGACAACACTTACACTAACTGATCAAAAGAAATGTCACACAGTCAATTTCTCTAAGTTCTGCATTTAGCTTGAGAACCGCAAACCTTCGCCATGAGATTTTGAACATGAAGCAAGATATACATCCCCAGCGTATGACCAGAAATTTTGATGAAGATAAAATAAAAACTCGCTGAATGGTGAGGACATGATTATCACGTGTTCCAAAACAGAGTGTAAACAAAATGGGATTTCAAAACATAACATGGCAAAGAGCAAGAAATCTGAAGTATTAGGACAAACTAATCAGTAGCGTGTGTTATCCCCCCTCGCGTCATGAACTGCTTGAACCCTCTGAGGCAAAGATGCATACAACTTTTCAATAACAGAGATATCAATCCTATACCACTCCTCCTGCAATGCTATCCATAAATGCTCCTCAGAATGTGGTAAAGGTCTGCGTGATCATATTCGACACTCGAGATGATCCCAAAGGTTCTTGATTATGCTGATATCTGGGCTATTTGGCGGCCAGGGCAAGAGATCCACATGGTTTTTTAAAAACCATGCCTGAACAATCTTTGCAGTGTGCTTTGGATCGTTGTCCTGCTGGAAATAGTAGTCATGATAATCCAGTTGAAGATCATGGTAGCTACCAAGGACATCATCCTGCAATATCTCACAGTACAACTCCTTGTTGAGGTTTCCTTCAATGCGTACGATGTGGCCAACACCTTGTGCTGTTATCATCCCCCACACAGTAACCTTCCCACCACTGTGCTTCACCTTCTTCTTTGTAAACCATGGGTCCAACCGCTCCCCAGGCTTCCTCCAGCACCACTCTATCCCATCTGAGCCAAAGACATGGAAAATTGATTCATCTGAGAAGTTGACGGCCCTCCAATTCAAAACTGTCCATTCGAGGTGTTCTTCGGCCCAGGTCTTTCGTACATGCAGGTTCTTATGTGAGATAAACGGGACTGTGCAATGAATATGAGCTTGAAGACCTTTGGCTCTAAGTGTACGCCTGATAGTTTGTACGGAAACGTCTGGGAAGTACTTGCGCTGCAGGTCTGAAGCATTGTGGGCGGTCGTATTTGGCAGGTGTCAGAGAGCAACGCATGTGTCACAAGGCGTCAGCTTATGAGGGTGACCAGTTCGAGGCATAACCTCATAGTAGTTTTCCTTCTCTGCGTATCTCTGCGTATCTCTTCACAATCCGGTAGATTTGGCGGTCAGATAGATCATGGCAGCCAGTTAGAGCAGCTCAAATCTCATCGTTTGAGTATCCTGCCACTCTCATCGTACAAACTTTAGCATGTTTGGTTGGGGTCGTGTTTGGCGCCATGGGTGTTATGGGAGTGTAGGAGAGGTCATGTGGGGATGTGGTTTGGGGCTGAAATGAAAATAGTGGGCAATGTTGTTGGTTGCGTTGTGTCTGATATCCCACGGTCATGGCACTCTTGAATGAATAACCTTGACAATGGTGGCAAATGCTGCTAGTAACCTTGAATCTCTTCTGGCACACTTAGTACTGACATAGAACTTCATTCCACAAGTAAGAGTTCTCAGAATTTCCCTTTACTTTGAAAGATACATCTTATTTTTCGTCAAAAAAGTTGTTGGACATTTCTTTTGATCAGTTAGTGTAAATCTCTATGATATCCTGTTTAGTGAGCAGGAATGAGCAGTCTCATCCTTTGCAAGAGCTGAGACTTGCAAGAACACAAGTTTCGAGAAAGGGAGACCTCAATTCAGCACTGCGGAGATAATGATTTCCAATTTTGGACATTGTCCATATGTGGAAATTCGGCATCTTTAATCAAATTCCTCCAATCTTGCATGTTTTTCTCAACACATACATTGCTTTTACACATAAAAATTACACTCACAGATAGAGCTTGACATAGGTTCTCAGAATCACTCAAACAAATTCAGGGGAAAGCATTTCTCAGTGCTGGACAGAATGCTTGACTGACTACCCAGGGTGACCAGGTACCTGATTACATACAGTATTACATTCTTTGTTTCATTTTTTGTTTCATTCTTACCATAGAATTTTCATTTTATTCTTTTCAGGAAGTTATTTCATTTTTTTTTTTTCAATCTTTCAGGCAACAATTTCAATGTTTCAATACACACCTAAATAAGGAAATAATATAAAATTATGCCTGATATGTGTTGTGCCCTACTGCAGTGGTGTGGGAGGCCATATGGGAGTACTTTTGCATTTGAGGCTCAAATGCATAACAAGATAGGCATACTGTTGCCAAATAAGGCACTTTGATATTTTACATCAATTACATAATAATTTTCCCAGCTCTAACAATAAAGGAATGAATGAAAAAGTTGCCATGGTGGAATGAAATGAAAAATGAAGTAATTTCTGTGAATCAATGAAATGAAATGAATGAAACAGTTGCCATGAATCAATGAAACAGAATGAATCATTTCAAATGAAATGGGTGCCATGAATCAATGAAAATTCATTTCATTCCCTCATGGTAGCTGATCAAGTTTTGCCACAGCAGCTGCCATAAATACATTGATGTAGAGTGCAGCTACTAGTGGATGATGTGGAATATCTAGAAACATTAGGAGCTACGACAGAAAATCACCACTCACTTGAACTCAGTATGATGCATTTTGGAGGCTTGACTTCCTCTGAGGAAGGGTCTGATTGGACACAAGTGTCTACATCTGAATCTGACAATGAAATGAGTTACTTGACATCTAAAGATGTTGAAGACTTGTTTGAAGACTTTACTGACCTTGATGCCAAAGTTCCTGTGTCCATGTCCACAAACGATAGTTCTATTTATTCAGGACTTACAATCTGCGATGTCGGATGATGACATGCCAAGCCTACAGTCAGTGTCAACATCATCAGATGAATCTGATAATGATTAGTGTTTACAGGTCCAGTCTTTTTTCGGTTGCAGTTGCCCAAATTTGGGGTTGGTCCAGTTGCTGGTTGCCTCAGTTCAAAAATCTTTTAAAACTGTTTAAAGACTGGTTCAAATCAGTTGCAACCAGTTAAACGGTCACATGCATTACATAGCTTTGTAACCATGTTTCTTACCTTTAATTGGGTTTTTGGTTCATCAAAAACAGTTAAGAACTGAGAAAGATATAACCAAATCCATTTTGGCACAAATACTTGTTTGTGCAACTTGTACCAGAATGACTTTAATTCTAACTCACTCAAACTTTCATCATTTTGCTTGATTCAATTTTTGGATATTGACAATTTAACTATGAAAATATACTCACCATCTATCAATATATGGTATGCATCAAATAATTTACAGTTGCCACATTACATTCTGCCTGAGTCTTTAGGAGATGTAATTCGGTTTCAGTCATAGCTATGTCAAACCTTCATTAGATTTCTTAAGAATTGGTGGAATGATGGGTATTTATATGTTTTACTGTGATATATAACCAGTTTATTTTTTAGAGTAATAATAATTGAGATACAAATGGTTTATATTGCTATGACAAATTTTACGCAAAAAGACTGGTTTGAATTGGTCTGAACATGGTCCATGGACCGCAAAAGACCAGTCCTAGGTGGTCTGGTTCAGTTCCCTCAATATCTGGGTTGGTCCTGGACCGGTTGCGGTCCACGGTTGCGCATTTTTAGGGCAAAAAACCAGACTGAACCAGACCTGCAAACACTAATGATGATATGCCAGATCTCCAGGAAGTCTCTCATTCTGATGATGAGATTTATCAATCAGCAGAACCATTATTGGAGCAATTGGAATGTGAATTGAATAATTCATACTTTGCTGAAATGACACAATTAGAATATGACAAAAAAGGATGTAAATACGATTGCCCTATTACACAATGGAGCTCAAAAAGCCCTGCAGTAGGAGATGAGACAGAGGGAATACATTCCAAAGTTCTGAACAGCTGGGAATATCGTCCCTGAAATTGCATTGGTGATATTCTTGCTGTGGCAGTTTGACATAATCTGGACAATGAAAAAAGTCACCCCAGGGATGAATTGTTTCCCCCTGATATGCATAATTCAAATAAGTATCATTACCAATTTTATGTTGCTGCCATCTGTTGAAATGTTTATTTAATTTTGGATGGTGTGCAACCCACACATTGTCACAAATATTTCAACCTGCCTCACGCAAAGGGTAAATCAAGAACAGCACCTCTTTAGGAGACACATATGTGCACCCTGCTATTATTGCATTAAATTATGGTGTGCCGTACCCTGGGGAGGACTATTGGTATGACCCTGACCAAGATGAGGGGATTGAATGGTTCAATTGTTGGATTAACAAGGACTCACCATCAGGTGACTATATTATCCATGACATGGATTGGAAATTCAAAGTGCAAGTACCCTTGAAATATTTGAAGAATCCTCTGTTCAATATTGCAGGCTGGTATGCTTGTAAAATTGCTATCACATTTCAGTACTTGAATGACAAAATGTTTAATGATGAGGATGAGGTGGATTATTTTGGTCTACTTTACCATCCTTGTCCCCCTCCTGAAGAATCTGAGATCTTGTATCAAATCAATTGTATTGGAGATGATATATGTGCTAGTCAGCATGCCGAACTACAGGAATTCAAAGATCATTACATTGTAACATCCTTGTATGGTCAACAGGTCATGCAGGGAACCTATCGAGGTCTTTACCATCCCCCACGTAATCCATGTGGATTCCAGTGGAGTCCAGTGGAGTCCAGTGGCCCAGTTGCTAGGCCAGATTGGCTTGCACAATGCCCAGTCCACTGGACTCAAGTCCAGTCCAGTCCAGTCCAGTCCACTGGACTCTCACTGGACTACAAGCCACTTTCCTGAGTCCAGTCCCAGTCCAGTGGACTATGAGTCCAGTCATAGTCCACTGGATTCCACTGGACTGCAGTGGAATCCAGCAGTCCAGTGAGTCCAGTCCATCATTACTTATGGATATCAATTACTACCAAAAAAGCGAAATTAAACTATACAAATGTAATGAGTTATATAGAAGTATACACAAGTACTCGTCGTAACAATGATCAATCATTTTGTTCAGTCTGCGGGGTGTGGCACGTGACGTACCCGTGGTGTTCAAACGTTGCCATACTGTCACGTTTGCCTTCTGCGGCATAGTCACATCTGCGTGACCATCTCTTTCCCTTCCACCACCACCACCACCACCCCTCACCAACGTCCTGCACCCACCACCACTCTTGGCCATCGCCACCGCTCTCAGCCACGTCACCGAAGCAACACGCTGAATGAAACGAACGAGGAAACAAGGGACCGCGCCCGGTCATGGGTGTCGGTGCCACGTCGCTATCAGCGACCTGGCAACCAGACGACGAACGACGACAAGCGTTGTTCGTCGTCCATGGGTGAGCAACCCAACTCCACCTGATCCACTCACCCACAGATGTCGACACGGCGCAACAACGCAACCCGGCGACGAGGAGCGCCCACGAAAACGATGATACCCACGTCACAGCAGGATGATGACACAACACGAGCACCCCCCACCACACACAAAAAATGACGAGCGCCCACGAAAACAATGAAACCCACGTCACGGCAAATGACGAGCGCACACCACCATCAACGAACCGCGACGAGCACCCACCCACCCCCACACACGAACGACGACGAGCACCCACAAAAAACGACGAGCGCCCACCACCACGACCCACCACCGCCCACTGACACGACGATGACGTGTCAACGACATGCCAGGACGACGACACGACACGCCAGGACGACGACGCAACACGCCAGGACAACGACGCAACACGCCAGGACAACGACACGACGTGTCCACACAAGCACGCACCCCCACCACACATGAAAAATGACGAGCACCCACAAAAAACGACGTGCGCCCACAAAAAACGACGTGCGCCCACAAAAAACAACGAGCGCCCACAAAAAACAACGAGCGCCCACCTGAAACATGACACGCGCCCACAAAAAACCACGAGCGCTGACGGCACGCCAACTCGGAATGGCGATGAGGGCCCAGCACCACCACCTCTCCCCTCCACTCTCTCCCCCCTTCACTCTCTCCCCCCTTCACTCCCTCCTCCCTCCAACACTCCCTCCCCCTTTCCCCCCCCCCTTCCTTGCTCCCTCCCCCCTCCATTCCTCTCTTCCCCCTTTCTTTCCCTCCCCCTTTTCTTTCCCTCTTCTCCCTCTCCCTCTCTGTAACATAGAATGTAGTAAAAGTAATGTATTTAATTAATAAATATACTTCAATTTTCTTTTGAAATCTAAGTTCAGTCCAGTCCAGTCCAGTTTTGTCTTGGGAGAGTCCAGTGGAGTCCAGTTTTGTGATTGGCAGTCCAGTCCAGTCCAGTCCAGTCTAGTCCAGTTTTGTGTTGGGAGAGTCCAGTGGAGTCCAGTTTTGTGATTGGCAGTCCAGTCCAGTCCAGTCCAGTCTAGTCCAGTTTTGTGTTGGGAGAGTCCAGTGGAGTCCAGTTTTGTGATTGGCAGTCCAGTCCAGTCCAGTCCAGTGGAATCCAGTGGAGTCCATGTGGATTATGTGGGGGATGGTAAAGTATTGGAACCTATCCATCAATTCAATGCAATAGCATGGTGAGGCATAACCCAGTGCAAGTAATCCCAAAGCCAATAGTGATCGTTGTCCAAATAAATGGTCACCCCGCAAGGGCATTGGTTGACTCTGGCTCACTCAGGGATTTCTTGTTGAGTACTCTTGCTAAGCAGCTTCATGTTGAGAAAGACGAGTTCGTGACCCTGGTCATGGTGCAACTTGCTGTCCAGGGTTCGCATTTGAAATCTAATTACAGCACTAAAGTTCAATTTGAATATCAAATGATAAATGAGAGAAGAAATTTCAATGTTATTAACATTACCAACTATGATTTAATATTGGGGACACTGTGGCTACAGCACCAGGTGTCCATGGACCTGCATCCATTTCACATGGTAATTGGCTTGGTCGAGTCCCTCCCCATGAAAGGACCTGGAGTAGCTAAATTGTCAACAGGAGCAATGTCCATGATACAAGAAAACTTACAACATACACATGAGGAACTTGTTGAATATGCTAGGCCTTTGTGTATTGATGAGACAATGGTGCCGTTGCCACCCTTGCATAAAATTAATCATCGGATTCCAATCATAGACTCAAAGAAAACTGTCAAGTATCGTCCTTCATGTGCCCAGATGTGTTAAAACCCCTTTGGAATGAGAAGCACAACACTTACTTGAAAAGTGGTCGCTGGCATCTGACGACCTCCTTCAACACAATGCTGATGCTGTTTCTGCGAAAGCCAGGAAAGCCTGGAGAGCCTATATGTCTCTGTTGTGTCAATGATTTACAAGAATGGAATGCAAGATCATGTCACCACTGCCTGACATGGATGGAATTTTGAGATGAGTGTCTTGTGCAAAGTACCACTTGGTAATAGACCTGCAAAATGCATTTGAACAAATCCGAATTGACCCTCGAGATGTTGAAAACTCAGCTATGGCAATGCCTGATGGTCCCCATGTTGAGTGAGGTGTTGCAACAGGGAGATTGTAATGCACCTGCAATGTTTCAGACTGTAATGAACAACCTATTTGACCTGTACCTTGGCCATTTTGTTGATATTTACCTAGTCAATGTAATGGTCTACTCAGACAATCTAGAAGATCATGTAAAACACATCAAATTAGTAATCGACATGTTACAAAAAGCAAAGTTCTTTCTTACTGAGTGAAAGTTGAATTTTATTTGTGACAAGGTGAAGATTCTTGGTTGTGTTGTTGATGATGAGGGGATCCACATGGATCCAGACAAGGTTGATGCGCTCATGCATTGGAAAATGCCAATGAATTGAGACCTTCTTTGAGGGTTTCTTGGTGCAGCTGGATTCCTTGCTGATGACATCGATTGTGTCTGTGTTCTGATGGGCGTCCTTCATGCGTTGACAGGAGATACGGTCCCTTTTCATTGGGAATATACTCACCAATGCACATTTGAAGACATTAAAAACCTCGCTATGTTGTGTAAGGATCACCATAGAAAACCCCAGTACTTTACCCTCCCCCACATGCTCTGATCAGAGCTGATCAGACAGGATGGTTCAGCACTGATCAGCATCAGCATTGCTGATCAGCACTGAGTTAGAGGTCAGGTGACTTGAGCTGTATTTATTCAAGTCAGAAATTCAGACCTCATTATAAAATTCACAAGTGAATTAAATCAAAAAATGATGTATTTCAATTATAATAGAAAATATATTTAACTACATTCAGTGTATAAGGTAGGGGACATCCATCTCTCTCCAATGTCACATGCAAGGGTGTGACATTTCCATTTTGAGCAGCAGTTATACAAAAATGCATCTTAAACATTTCTACAACAATTAGATACAAATTGGAAACCAGGAGTTTGTGCCAAAATAGGTTGTGAACTGATGCAAAAAGAAAAAAAAATGTGTAAAAATGTGTTGCACTCAAATCATATCAAAAATACATTTGGGCGTTTAGATTAGTGGCACGTTGTGTCGAAATCAACAGAATTTCCCTGGACACACCAGAAATACAGTGAAACACAAAAGGACAAAGAACCTTCAGAGAGGCTCCAAAAGGAATAGAGGACCTGAAAGATTGAAAAAGAGAAGAGAGTGGCACCTACTTTGTGCATATTTTTGTATTCTGCATACCATTCCATGAAATCAAAATCCTAGCTTCTATAACTTTGTATATAGCTTTCTAACAACAATTATAACAATCTCCTGGGAGCCAATTTTGAATTTCTACTCTAGAGTCACATATCTTCCATCTTCCAGTCCCTGTGAATATAAAAGGAGCATTATTGTAACAGCACATGATGTTGGAGAGAGATGGATATCCCCTACCTTACTAGAGAGGGAGGGGAGGGGCAAGGGAAGGGGAAGGAGGGAGGGAAAGGAGAAGAGAGAGGGAAAAGGGAAGAGGGGGGGGGAAGGGAAGGGGGAGGGAAAAGGGAAGGGGGATGGGGGGAGGGAAGAAGGGGGAGGGAAGGGTCGAATGGGAGGGACAGGGAAGGGGGAGAGAAAAGGGAGGGGGGAGAGAATAGGAAGGGGGAGAAAAAAGGGAGGAGAAGGAAAAGGAAGGGGGCTCATCAACGTTGTCGGTTGACATGTAGCTGTCATCCTCGTTGTCTGTTGATGTGACCATTGTCCTTGGCATCCATTGATGTGTGGCTGTTGTTGTTGTTAGCATCCATTGTCATCCATTGTTGTTGTCCATTGTTGTGTTGTTGTTGTCCATTGACATGTTGCATCGTCCGTTGTCATGTTGTCATCATTGTCCGTTGATGTGTTGCATCATCTGTTGTTGTCATCTATTAATGTGTTGCGTCATCCATTGTCATCATCTGTTGATGTGTCGCATTGTCCATCGTTGTGTCATTGTCATTGTCTGTCATTGTCATTGTCTGTTGACATGTCCTTGTCCTTCCGTTGACATGTCCTTGTCCTTCCGTTGACATGTCCTTGTCCTTCTGTTGACATGTCCTCGTCCTTCCGTTGACGTGTGGCTGTCCTTGTCATCGCTGACATGTCCTTGTCGTCTGTCACTGTTGTTGTCATGTTGTTGTCTGTTGGCATGTCATCATCCATTGTATGACATGGTGATGTGGCAATGGGTGTCATGGATGATGGTGGTGGGTGAGGAAGAAGAGGGTGAGTGTGAATGATGCCAAATCAAACATCAGTGTTTGTGGAAACCCAGAGGTGATGATGGGTTATATATTATGATGTTATATGTATTTTAAACAGTCAGATAGCACAGTGGTAATATTGTGCTTTTGTGATCATGTGATTCATCTATGAATGCCTGGGTTGTCCTTGTTCATGTACAGTCATCAACTGGTCAATGACACAAACATTTTTATTGACTGGATCACATCCCTCACACATCGGCTTCTCAAAAACTGAATTATACAAAAGCTGATGAAGTATTTACACTATACAAATTAGTACTTTAAAACTTTTTATCTTGCCTACCTGTTCAGGACTGAATTTTTTGGTCAAAACAGCATCAACACCATTCAATGACACAGTCACAATTTACCTGATTGGGATATGGCATCAAAAGTTGGTTTGACTTACATCTGAGAAATATTCTCCTCAAGGGACTCATGTTAGTTCACCTGGAGTTCTCAAGTATTGACCAGAGATTATCCATGCATTTTAGGCAGTCAGCTAAGGTGAGGTGGAGGAAAGATTTTCATTTGACAACTAAACCCAATTTAGATGCATCACAAACTCTGTCACATTTGGTAACCCATCTCAGTGTCATTTCACATCTTTTCTTTGCTGATAGTCCCTGCAAGCCACTACTTTCCTAGATAAATTTTGATTATTGTACCCTATGTATTTTGTATTCAGGGACTATCAAAATAAATCTCAGTCTTCAAGAGATTGTTGCCAGATCAGGGTAATGGAATTGTCAAATCCTGATCAAAACCAATGAATAGAGCTTTTAAGGAGTTCAAGAGAGGCTCTTGCCTCAAAAAAAGCACAGTCATATTGATATAGTATTCCCTTACAACAATATAAAATTTCTAAGAGATGTGAGCAAAAATGGGGGAGCAAAACTGTTTTGTGTCATTGACCAGTTGATGACTGTATTTATTTTTTACTAGTATAATAACAAGGGTAATACTCATGTACTACTCAGTTCTGTTCAGTACTAATCAGTTCTGTTCAGCATCAGTCAGTTCTGTTCAGCATCACTCAGCATTTCAGTGACTCAGTGCTGAGCACTCTGATCAGTGCTAATCAGCACTGAGTAACTCTGAGTGGGGCCATTGCTGAGCTGCTTTCCAGCCAAAATGGCTGGGGAAGGAGGTATATTAATTCTGATCAGCGCTGATCAGAACATGTGGGGGAGAGACAAGACCTTGAAAACCCTTGAAATATGGAGAAGACGCACCTCCTGTTAATATTGTTACAGATGGATGTGGCACTGGGATTGCAGGTGTTGTGAGTCAAGGTGAAGACTGGCAGACTGTGGATGTGGCGGCATTTTTCTCTGCAAAGCTAAATCCTGCACAACAGAATTACCCTATGCATGAGATTGAAATGTTAGCTGGAATTGAAACAGTGATGAGATATAGGGACATACTTCAGGGTGTAAAATTTTGTTGGTACACAGACCATAAAGGTCTAATTCACCTATTGAACCAACATGATCTATCTGGAAGGCAAGTGTGTTGGTTAGAAAAGGTCTCAGAGTTCAATTTCGAGATAATTTACGTACCAGGGACTGAAAACATTCTGTCAGATGCCTTGTCTCATCTGTATTCAAATGATGAGCCAGGCACCATGCATGTGAGAAGCGAATATACTTACCATGATATCATTGACAACAATGTTTTGAGCTCGCATGCGATCTCAATGCCAGTCCTTGTTGGAAAGGAGGGTGAGGCGGCATTGTTGCCAAAATGCTGTGGGCGCTTGAAGCCAGAACCAGCAGAATTGGGTCATCCAGAGACTTCGTGTGAATTTGCTGCACAAATGAAAGGGCACATCTTATTGAAAGGTCCCAAAGTGCAGACACCATGTGAGGCATCAAAGGATAAGGAAGGGGAAGCAAAAGACAAAGGGAAGGACAAGTTAACAATCCGAATTCCCACTCAGAAGCCTACCTTGTCTAAAAATAATGACACAGAAGCAATCAGTTCTAGATCTGAACAGATCACCAGAGATATCTCCATTTCCATGCCATGTGATGTGCCAAACACATTGGGTGCTGAGTTACCGGATGATGCTGCGAGCACACCACAGACACTAGTTGAGCATATGCAAGACAGTGTGGGTGGTATAGACATCCAGAAGGAACTTAGGGGAAAATACAATGATGATAAAGTATTCTATTGAATACTTCAAAATCCGAAGCACTTGAAGAATTTTGAAGTTTCTGAAGGGCTAGTCTTTTTGAAACAAAAAGGGATGAAGTTACTATGTATTCCAAATGTTGAAATTGATGGACATAATGTCTGTGAACTTGTAATTTCAGAAGCTCACTTGTCGCTGGCTCATTTAGGTGCTCAGAAAACGATCACATACTTAAGGGACCATGTGTGGTGGAAAGACATTGTCACTGATGTCAATTCTTACTGTAATTCGTGCATAACTTGTAAGTGAAGCAAACCATCAAATCAGAAACTTTATGGCCTACTGATTTCCTTAGCTGTGCATACAAGACCATGGGAATCAATTGGAATTGATTTTGTAGGGCCACTCCCTAAATTGAAGGATCGAGACACAACCTATGATTGTATTGTCGTGATTATTTGCTTGCTCATGGCTATGGTTCATCTAGTCCCAGGTTGTATTGATTACATGGCTTGCCAGATTGCAGAATTAGTATTTGCAGAAGTGTATAAACATCATGGCCTACCTAGCTCAATAATAAGCAACCATGATGTACTTTTTACAAGTGCATTCTGGAGACAACTGCATGAGTTAATAGGGGCAAAATTAAACATGTTGAGTGCTTACCACCCTGAGTCTGACAGTTCCATGGAAAGGGCCAACCATACTGTCATGCAAATGATAAGACAATGTGTTAGCCCAAACCAGAAAGATTGGTGTATGAAATTACCTGGAATTGAGTTCACAATTAATTCCATGACTGCTAGTAGCATGGAGTATGCTCCTTTCTTCCTGAACAATGGCTGTATGCCTTGCTTGTCTATTTGGGAGTCTACTGAAAGTTCCGAATATCTGGGAGTCAGTGCATTTGCCCAAAAAATCAAGTCAGCCGTAATGTCTGCTCATGATAGCATTTTAGCTGCTCGCATAAAACAGACATGCACCACTAATTGGTGTTGTCAACTTTCTCCATTCAAAGAAGGAGATCTTGTATATATCACTACAAAGAATATGTCAATTCTGAAGAAGCTTGCATGGAAACTTGTTCTGAAATATGTTGGACCTTACCTTATCATAAAGGACTATGGAAACAATTTTTACAAGATAGAAAATTCTGCAAGGTTGAAGCAAAGAGGTATTCATGATGTGTTCCATGCATCATTGTTGCAGATTCACATACCTAATGATGACAGACTGTTCCCTGGTCAGTTGGACAATCAATGTCCTTGGTGTCAATTCAATTACTGGATTGCCGGAGGGTCATGGTGAGCCCCCCAAAAATTTTCAGGTGTCTCTAGGTCACATTGACTTAATTGATGAGTCTAATACAGTTGAGGGGATATATATCTGTCAAGATTGCACCCCATTCTCACATTCCCCTCTTCCTCAACACCCATCCACCCATCCAACTCTCACTTCAACAATGCCTCGCAACTCCACTCCTATCATCTCTCCTCTATTCAGATATGTTTGCTACAATGAGGACCAGTGGCTCTTTGTTGTCCACAACCCTACCAAGAACATGTCCATTATTTACCACCCCTGCCAGGTCTGACTCTTTCTCCTTTTTGATCACAACCTCCACAGTGGGATCAAGGTCGACACTCCTCCCACAAGCTACCTGGAATTTGCAACTATTGGTAATATGAAACCTGACATTCTGGGTGCATTATCAGTTGTAACCGATGGGAAGGACTGGGATTTACCTGCCATCCCTCTCTCTCGCAAGGACATGGATCTCAGTGCCTTTGCCGTTGATGGCAGAATCATTGATCCTGATTTAGATGCATTGGGTTTTTACAAAAATGGGCACCTGGACATGGATCAAGTTAACCACCATGTCTGTCTCACATTGGATCGTCTCCACTGCTATGACAACAAAGGTAGCTGAAGCAGATGCATCAACAACTTTGGCAAGACAGGACCTTCTCACAACAACTGTCATGGGCAGGGTTTTAACCCTTTCAAAGTCACTACCAATGCATCTCACACCCCTACTATTATGCCCATGGCTCCCATCAATGAGCCCTCTATGGCCCAACCTGTTCCTGCTGTGGCTCCTGCCTCAATTGCCTTGCCTTCTGCCCCTGCTACCATGTCTACCTCAACCACTTCGTCTTCCACCCCCACTAGTGCACCTGCCCCAGCCACCTCCATTTCCGTTACCACATGCAAAGCTGCAGCAGTCCACAACAAGGACAAGAAAGGCACCAACATGGAGGATGCAATTATGGGTGATGCCAATGCTGCTTGAAGCCATTCCTGTGGAATGGCTGGAGGGCATATGCAGCTGTCATGTGACATCACAACCTCTTCTCTCTATTTTCATTCCTATCAACACCCTCGAATTCCTTCATGATCGATTCATCATTCTCTGTCTGGCACCTGATTCTTTTATATTGGTATCCCAAAGGTCCCCCCAATTTACATCACCCCTTATTTACTTGGCAATGGTATTTAAAGAGCCCCTCTTGTTTGTAACTACTCAGTTTTGAACGAAGATACTCTTGCCCAGTCTATCTGAATTTGAGACTCTACCATTTTTCTGTGTGTCATTACTGTGACCCAATCACACTAATGCCACAATAGGGCGCAGCATGTTTTTTTTTTTGCCAAATAAACAAATGGATTTATATAGTTGCAAAATATCTTCTATGTAGCACACTCAAAAGACGTCCATTCGGCTTGAAATTAGATCTGTTCAATGCAGATTTTGAATCTGCACACGTTGATGTGCCCATGTTCCATCAGTTGCAAGAAATAACCACTATACCATCAGAAACAATCATCTGTGATGTTCGATATACAGCATCCACACCTCAACTGTCAATGTTTCCCATTCCATCTTTTAGGCAGCTCAGACCTTCAAATCAAGTTTCTGGAGGAGGAGCATTACTGTCATGTGACCCCTAATGGGTCATTCATAGTACTGGGTCAATACTCATTTTGTAACACAATGGCTTCATTATATGCCTTGTAATTTGACATAGTGAATGTCCAGCATATTATAATTTAGCATACAAAGTTATGGAGTGAGAGGACACCTATCAAATGAATAAATGGGTGGACAAGCACCTTGATTGGACCAAAGATCCGAATCAACATGTGATGTCATAGCATCTCACCTCATATCTCAGTCACTTTCCCTCTGTTTGCCTCACTTGTTTTTGCAAACAGAACCTGATGTAGGAGCCTCCAACTAATGTGGTACTTTGTTACTTAGCTTCTTTGGGGGAAGGTAAAAACCAATGTGCAAGACTCAACTAGAAGTTCCAGCACAAATCCTCAAGTTCCACTGTATCCCAGCAACACAAATGGCATAGACTCCCTTGAAACATTTGGTTTGGCATGTCAATTCAGTTCAATTCAATGTAGGTATTGTAATTTTTCAGAATTTTTTGAGAGCTGTACATGATGCTGTCACAAGATGATACTAGATAACTATAAAGTCCAACATTGCATGAACATGAACCTCCCACCTCCTGAAACAAGTATAACTTGGTGAGTGTACACCCCCCCAGCATCCTTGATGTCATTTTGACAATTTTTGCTCCAATACTAGAGTATTCAACCAAGATGCAGCCTCCCAACACTGATCTGACCCTCCACATGCCTGCACACTATGTGCACTCACTTGAATCTTCGGCCACTGAGGATTTAATCACAAGGTAAGTCATTCCTATATATTCTATATGTTCTTTGAGGTGTCCTGATGATAATCTATTGTAGTTTGAACAATGTTGGCCTTCCTCCACCCCTTGAGGATGTTTATAACATGGCTCAAACAAATGCTTACAATCCACATGAGGCACTCACACCTCACTCTTGTGCCTTCCTTGAAGCAACAGTCAACTCATATTTTGACAAGGTTTGCATTTTAGCTATGGATCCAGAAGGTGTTGAGGAGACTGCATCATCCAACATGAAGGGATCTCATGTGGAGAGTGGACAGTCTTAAGTTTAAAGTAGTTGGGCTCTCACTGTCATACATCACAATGGGCCAGAATTTATAGTTTGAGAATAAAGGGTTATGTGTACATGACCATTCTGTTTCTCATTGCATGAGGAGCAAAGGATGATCTGGAATTGCTGTGCACACAACCATTGACCAATGTAACACAACATCGCCTCTCAACAGCCTTATTCCTGATACCATGTCATCTGCCTCACACTTATCATCGAGTCATAGCGCTGATGAAGAATGGGTGCAGCTTGCATTAAAAGCAGTTGTCGCATCTGGGTTGAAACCCAATGGTCAGCCAAAATTAGGACTTTGAAAAGCAGCACTCACTTACAATGTCCCCTCTACAACACTCATGGCACAATACAATGGTCGTAAAACATGAGTGGAGTCTCATTCTCACCAGCAGAAACTCACACCATCTCAAGAACTTGTCCAATACTTTACCATCCCCCACATAATCCACATGGACTCCACTGGATTCCACTGGACTGGACTGGACTGGACTGGACTGCCAATCACAAAACTGGACTCCACTGGACTCTCCCAACACAAAACTGGACTAGACTGGACTGGACTGGACTGGACTGCCAATCACAAAACTGGACTCCACTGGACTCTCCCAAGACAAAACTGGACTGGACTGGACTGAACTTAGATTTCAAAAGAAAATTGAAGTATATTTATTAATTAAATACATTACTTTTACTACATTCTATGTTACAGAGAGGGAGAGGGAGAAGAGGGAAAGAAAAGGGGGAGGGAAAGAAAGGGGGAAGAGAGGAATGGAGGGGGGAGGGAGCAAGGAAGGGGGGGGGAGAAGGGGGAGGGAGTGTTGGAGGGAGGAGGGAGTGAAGGGGGGAGAGAGTGAAGGGGGGAGAGAGTGGAGGGAGAGGTGGTGGTGCTGGGCCCTCATCGCCGTTCCGAGTTGGCGTGCCGTCGGCGCTGGTGGTTTTTCGTGGGCACGTGTCATGTTTCGGGTGGGCGCTTGTTGTTTTTTGTGGGCGCACGTCGTTTTTTGTGGGTGCTCGTCATTTTTCGTGTGTGGTGGGGGTGCGTGCTTGTGTGGATGTGTCGTGTCGTCGTCCTGGCGTGTTGCGTCGTCGTCCTGGCATGTCGTGTCGTCGTCCTGGCATGTCGTTGACACGTCATCGTCGTGTCAGTGGGCGGTGGTGGGTCGTGGTGGTGGGCGCTCGTCGTTTTTCGTGGGTGCTCATCGTCGTTCGTGTGTGGGGGTGGGTGGGTGCTCGTTGTGGTTCGTTGACGGTGGTGGGCGCTTGTCATTTGCCGTGACGTGGGTTTCATTGTTTTCGTGGGCGCTCGTCATTTTTCGTGTGTGGTGGGGGGTGCTCGTGTTGTGTCATCGTCCTGCTGTGACGTGGGTATCATCGTTTTCGTGGGCGCTCCTCGTCGCCGGGTTGCGTTGTTGCGCCGTGTCGACATCTGTGGGTGAGTGGATCAGGTGGAGTTGGGTTGCTCACCCATGGACGACGAACAACGCTTGTCGTCGTTCGTCGTCTGGTTGCCAGGTCGCTGATAGCGACGTGGCACCGACACCCATGACCGGGCGCGGTCCCTTGTTTCCTCGTTCGTTTCATTCAGCGTGTTGCTTCGGTGACGTGGCTGAGAGCGGTGGCGATGGCCGAGAGTGGTGGTGGGTGCAGGACGTTGGCGAGGGGTGGTGGTGGTGGTGGTGGAAGGGAAAGAGATGGTCACGCAGATGTGACTATGCCGCAGAAGGCAAACGTGACAGTATGGCAACGTTTGAACACCACGGGTACGTCACGTGCCACACCCCGCAGACTGAACAAAATGATTGATCATTGTTACGACGAGTACTTGTGTATACTTCTATATAACTCATTACATTTGTATAGTTTAATTTCGCTTTTTTGGTAGTAATTGATATCCATAAGTAATGATGGACTGGACTCACTGGACTGCTGGATTCCACTGCAGTCCAGTGGAATCCAGTGGACTATGACTGGACTCATAGTCCACTGGACTGGGACTGGACTCAGGAAAGTGGCTTGTAGTCCAGTGAGAGTCCAGTGGACTGGACTGGACTGGACTGGACTGGACTTGAGTCCAGTGGACTGGGCATTGTGCAAGCCAATCTGGCCTAGCAACTGGGCCACTGGAATCCACTGGACTCCACTGGACTCCACTGGAATCCACATGGATTACGTGGGGGATGGTAAAGACCTCCAGTATTGAGCTCATAACAAGTGTAACAAGGTTGCAGGCAGTGTGGAGTCAACACAAAACCTGAGTACCCTAAAATAGGCACAGTTGATCTGGGAACTGTGGTGACCATACCATATTTGGTATAAACCCACGGTTTTCACACAGTCAGTTACTGGTCATTACCATGCTAGTCCTTAGCTCTCTTGCATGCAATCCAGGTGGAAGTTAAGATTCTGATCCACAACCGCTGCAAGAACACTGCAAAGTAGCTAGGTCAGTTGTTAAGCAGCTCAAAGGACCAAAAAACATCTGTCTACCATTTCCAACAACAATAGTATAATAGTTACTCCTAATTTCTTGATTTTTAATCCAAAAAGGTCATTAAGGGATTGCAAAATGTTGTGTCTTTGCCTGGTTGTTTTGAATTGAAGATGGGCTAAAGTTATTGAATGCCGAATGAACAATATGAACAATACATAAAATGCAAAGGACCTACCAAGATTAGACTGATGAAGCCAGAGGAGCTGTTGTGGCTGCTAAGTGAGCTCTGAACTGACATGAATTGATGAATTTACAAACCCAGTTGAAGCCTGTCAGAGCCTGCTGGATGTAGACGCTGACAGCAACTCGCTCACTGGCACTCAGATAAATCAAAGTGACAGACAAGGTGAGCAGGACACAGTCCAGTAAATTTTGCAAGTGAACTCCCAGATTGCAGACTGGTCCTCCCACCAGAGGACTGGGGGGTGCTGAGACAACACCAGCAGGGCACAACAAACTAAGGGCAGGTGAGGGAGGTGCACATGGGCCTAGAAGAAGTCGGGGAAGCCACAGGGATGAGCAACAAAGGTGCATGCAGAATCTAAAAAGAAGGGAAAAAAAGACAGTAGAAAGTGAGAAAGTTGGAAAAAGATCAAAGGGGATCCACTCACATTTATATGAAACAGAGAGCACAGAGGGATGTTGAAGGGATGGCCAAAATCATGAAGAAAGGCACCTGGGAGGCAGATGCAGGTGATAATGACAGAAAAGCAAGGCCATAGGCATGGCAGGGGCAGAGTGTTTCCCCCAGGCAGTGAGGAGGTGGAAAGTGAGGGGAATGCAGGCAAAGCGACACCCACATCAATGGTGGAGGCTGAGATGCAGAGTGCACACAAGTATTAGTGACCTTACCCCAACAACACTGAGCCCCCTGACCATACAAACAGGCCATGGTTGATGGTGCCTGCTGATGAGCCGATGTATATGTTGACCCCATCAAAGCTGGCTCGGCCACCCATATCTTCTTGAGGAGTGGTTCTGTGTGCCAGCCGACCAGCCTAATGATGAATTGACCCCACTGAAATTGCCTTGGATTGTGGGTCAGCTGAACAGCTTTTGATTCCTCACAATATGGATCAGCCCACTTGCCGCACCCTGGCTCGGCAAAGTCAGTTTACATACCCGAGGTCATGAATCTCATTGTGAGCCCCGAGCAGAGATGAGGCCGGCCCCCATCTGTTGCCATCTCCAGCCTGGATATGGCCCGGCCCAGTCAGCACCACACTCCCTACCATTCTTTGGCTTGTCTCCAATTAAACAATTTATGTTGCCATCTGTCCCGTGATGATAGCCAGCCTGGCTAACACATGGCCTAACTAAGTTTACTTGTTTATATGTTGTACCAACCCCCCAGTGTTCTTTGCCATGTCCTGCATTCAAAATAACCCTCTGGTTTTATGTTTGCATCAGGCCAGTGAGTACATTAGCTGGTCCTGTATTCTGGTGCAAAGTTACTGAGCAGACAAGGTCATTGAATATGTATAAATGCATGGAAACAGCCAATCAAACATGTTCAGATGCAAAATAATGGAGCTGACAAGTGGGAAATAGTACAAATACCCGGGTTTCACCTTGAGTGATTGAGCCGATTCCATATTAAATCATTGTGTCTGGGCCAGTGCATTTTTCAGGGAAAAGATGTGTGAGCTGGCACCATGTCCAGGTGAAATTACACCAAGCAGACATGAATTACATCAGTAAAGGTGCACATCGGGTGATGCAGGCATTTAAATCCCAAACTGTTGAAGTACGTTGGCTGGTGCCACAAGTATTAGTTACCTTACCCCACTAATACTGAGCCCCCCGACCATACAAACAGACCATAGTTGATGGTGCCTGCTGATGAGCCCATGGATCAGTTGACCCCATCAAAGGTGGACCGGCCATCAAGACTCTCTTAGGACTGGTAATGTGCATCGGCTGAGAAGTGTACCCCATGAATTGACATAGCTAAAAATGCCTTGGATCCTAGGTCAACCGATCTCTTCATGGATTGGGCTCAACATGTGTCATGGGTCAGCTGAAGAGCTCTAAATCCCATGCATTGTGGATCAGCCCACAGCCGTCTCATTTTTATTTGCCAAGTTTACCTCGGCTTTTCATTGCCGGTCATCATGCAGTTTACTGGGCCGGGTCCATCACCTACCAAGAAGCCGAGCACGGTGACATGGTCAGTCAGCTAGTACCCCATGAATTAAATATGCCTTGGATCCTGGGTCAACCCGTCTCTTCATGGAATGGGCTCATGTGTCATGGGTCTGCTGAAGAGCTTTGAATCCCATGCAGCGTGGATCAGCCCAACCTGGTCCCATCCAGTTGACACTATACGGCCGAGTTTCGTCTTCACTCAGGTTTTATTTGCCAAGTTGCTCANACATTACCTCGGCTTTTCTTTGCCGGTCATGGTCCAGTATTCGGTCATGCAGTTTACTGGGTCCATGACTTCCCAAGAAGCCGAGCACGGTGACGTTCACAAGGCAGTGAAATATATTATGCACACCCCCGGTTCAAAATCCCTACCAGTTTATACCGACCAATGTTTCTTGTAAACATACCCATGTTGGAACGGGTCTGGCTCAAACAACCGCACTCGGCTGCCTGAAATAAACGCCAAGCTGTTACTATGCCGGTCTCCATTGGACAAAGTTGCTCCAAGATCCCCCCGCTTTCTTACTGCTTTCATTATTATGTCCACCACAGGACTTCATATTAAATATGCCCAAAAAAAAATTGAAGATTGTCCAAAAAATATACATGTATGCTACTAACTATTAAGTAGACGGAGTTTGGACAGTTTGGACATCATTGTTTGTAACTTGCTGGCAGTCAGATTTTTGAATCCTCACCAAGTAGAAGACTTACTCTGTGCGGGGGTTTGAAGTGTGGGTTCGAGTTTCTGTAGCCGAGGTGACTTCCTATTACCCCCAATGTAAGGACCGGGCGAACTTGCCCGGGTTGGAGGAATTGGGTTTGGCGCCAACAGAAGGACCGCTGGGCTCTCAGATGCTGGAGGCAGAAAGACGGCCGGGGTTGGAGAGACTTGCGCGTGATCGGTTGAAACTGGGTTTGGCAGAACGACACCCGGGGTTGGGGAGACTTGTACCTGCTGGCTTTTCTGACCGCGGTCGGGTGAGACTGAGCGATCGGTATTGATGCCAGTGTGCTTCTTCTCCTTGTTGCCGAGGAACTGGATAATGAGCGATTCCAGACTTGATTGGCGAGCACCGAGCCGCAGGTTGAGCTCCGAAATAGTAGTGACGGATTTGGTGAGGTCGTGGAGCGTTAGCTCGGCAGTTTCGATGCGGCTTGCAAGTTTCTCAAAGCCCCGGGTGAGACTCTCTTGTAACGCAGCTGGCGTAGTCTCCCACTTGTTCTCCAGTGTCTTGACGGCTTCCCTCACCTCGGCTTCCAGTCTCTGGTGATCACTTCGGATGGACTGCAAATCTTCTTGTGTTTCCTTCCAACGCATGTGGGCAGACTCTTCAATACGGTCCATCCGGCGAGTCGCTCCGGTGATTTTTTCTTCCTGAAACCAAACGGAGGTCTCTAGACTTGCAATTTTCTCCGACAGAGGACGGCTAGCCAAATCTTGATCTTGAATACACCGGGTAATCTCTTCGAGCGCCAAAAGACGTTGTGACAGGGTCACGGGTGAGTCAACCGCCGGGGGGAGAAGGGCACTTGCGTCAATATCTTGTTTTCGGACCACAAATGCCGAATACTCTCGCATAGTAGGGGTAGACGACTCCATGACGCTGACTTGCGCTTGTTGGTCTCGGAGTTTCTGCAGGAGGTCGGCTTGGCCATGAGCAAGTCTTCTGATCTCCTGCTGCATCGTCTGCATGTCGAAGTTCGGT